TATCTTATTTGTACATCTGAAAAATCTACATTTTCCATCTCTGCACCATCAATCTCTAACCTGACTCTGCCAAAAGACATATAGTTTCTGGGGAAGGAGTCCAAAGGCCAAAGTAAAGACAGATTCTAAAATACGTTGACCCATACTCATTTATATCAGTAATTCCTTCCATCTACTCTTCTATACGTTGCATTGCAATACTTAGATACTTTACTACAGTGATTATCTACTGCTGTAAGTAACTTTAAGAAACTTCATTCTAAATTTCAGTTTTTGCTTGAGCAAATCTGTTTACAATGAATTATTTATGAGTATTCCATGGTTATTTGGTCCCCAAATCTCTTTTTGCAGCAATATCACTCAAAGCAGCTATTTACATACACAGGACATTCACAAACAAGATCTAGGCAATGACAGTATCACAATTACATTTACGTTTTTTGAATATAAGGAAGCTGCTCAAAAACAGAAAGAGCAAGGAATCAGAAGTATTTTCCTTCCAAAGCACTAATTATTCCCACCAAAGCACCCAAGAAACTGATTGATGCCTTGTACTTACAGACTTAAAGCTCACAGTGAACTAACATAGACATCATTACTGTGTAAAAATACATTTCTGTTAGAAATTACAGACACAAGGACAATGTGTGCAGGTACCTCTACATACCGACTTGGAAACTGCCAGTGAGGAGATACAAGCAACTCAAAAACAGGCTTTCTTTGATGTATTTAGCCTAATCTAAGCCACATCTGAGTGAGGATAAAAGAACAGCACTTCTTCATCCCCTTTTCAGCATTCTCTTTCTGTGTTTTCTTTTTAATACAATCTGCTTATATGAATGAGTAGAGTGTTTGCAGAGTGTACACAAATCTGTAGAGTGTAGATATTTGTAGAGTAAATATGAAGGTGTAGAGTGCTACTTCTGGAGGATCCAGAAGTAATTATTAAATTACTAACTCTGAAGCTGCTGCATAGCAGAAATCTGCATGAAAGCTATTCTGTGCTAGATGTGCAAAGACCTGACTGTGGAGAGCCATGAAGGTATACAGCTGAGGGAAAAGTAAAAGGTAGTTGTAAAGCAATTCCCAGGCTTGATTCTATAAACAATTAGGCTCTCTCAAGCACCACTTCCTAAACAATAAGATTCTCAGACAGTCTTCCCATAACAGGCAAAACACTCTGTCCTTGGGCTCTTTAGCTACTCTGGGAACAGATATGGAGGTTTTGGGAACCTTTCATATCACAGTGAGAACACTGTCCTGTTTTCAATAAATAAATCATAGGTATTGTAAAACAAAAGGAGGGGTTAGAGTTTTCTCTGTTAACCTATTGTGAGCTTGGATTTTGCAATATGCATGAAGTTAATAAACAGTTATATAAAGTGGCTGATTGATCAATAAATTGGGAGTTTGATGCATCAATCGGATGGTCGCTTCTCCCTTCACTTCAATACCTGACTATGACGTTCAGATACACATATGAAGTTCAATACAGTGTGGCCAAATAAATCTCTGAAAGTCATACTGTTCTCTTAACTCTCAAATGAAAATGAACCCTAAACTACTTTAAAACAAATACTCACAGTGCTTTTGTTTCTTATACTTTTGATTTAGCCTAAAGGTATTGCTTTAAGGCTAAGACAAGGAGGTTACATATAGAAAACAGCTTACTCAATCACTGTAAGCTGTCAGCACACTTCCACATAAATTACTATAAGAAAGCAAATAAAGATTTGGTAGACCCTTTTTATTTATTTTTTAACTAAGTCTATTTATTTACCAAAAAAAAGTTCATATCATACTTAAATCAGTATTTGTATTAGCAGTACAGTATTTTTTAAAAAGCCATAATTGGATTCCATTATTATTAAATTTGTAACAGTTTGAGATTGGAAACATATCTAAAGCACTAGTGTTTTAAGAACATGCTTGCTCAATTGTAAAGAGTCCTTAAAGTCCTCTAATCATCGTCATAATGAAGACTTTTATTACTGTCATTTTGATTACATCATACAGAACATCCAAATTTTCGGAAAAGCTCAAATTAAAAATGTTTTTGTATCCCAATTATGACCAGCATGAGCTCATTTACTACCAACTGAAGCCATTTGGTCATTGCTTATTGTTTGGGAGGTTTTGTTTCCTATAATGTGGTTTATCATTTATCAGTGTAGGAAAACATAGCGACACTGAATAATATGTATCACAGCTGAGGTCACATTACTGCCTTACAAAGAAGTTAGCAGGACTAAATACTTGTTCACATTTCAGCTATTTCCTGTTCTCTGTGTAAAACATTAATCTAAACTGCAGGAGGACTTGCTTGCTGCAGTTTATAAAGCACAGTTGGTTTTGCTATGAAGTATTAGACTGCACAAAGCAGTGGAGAAGTGATTCAGCTACAGCTGAATCCTGCTCAGAGGGGGACAGGAGCAGGAGGCACGTGATGCATGAGAAGGGATGGAGGAAAGAGTAGAGGAAGTGCTTCAAATGCTGCAGCCCTCTGCACACTGGCCACAAGGCAGGAATCTGACCCAGTCACTCAGTGGTCCAAATAAAATCCAGGAAAATACTTCTTTTCCAAGTATGGTTAGTATACTGTAAGCACAGTATGTATTAAAGGACAGAAACTTCTTGCACTGTAATAATGGGAAAATAGAGCAGCTCCATAAGGAGTTACAGGGAATGCCTCCAATCGACCTCCATACTCTTCATACTGAACATGCTACAAAAATGCAAGAAAGAACACTTAGTGCTTTAACTTGCCATAAGTGGAACTCCCATTCCACATCACTTTTTCCTTCCCAAAGGAAACTTAAAATTCAGCTGAACAACAATAAAATTAATATTATTTTTAAAAAAAGGCATATGGTACAAACTAGATAGCATTAATTCAATCCTAAATAGAAATTACCAGACTTCCACACAAAGCTGGAGGGGGAGGCCACTCAATCCTCCAATTATTCCTCTAAATCCTGACAATAAATTTGAGTAAAGAGGCCTTCATTCACACATATCTCAAAAAAAGTAATTGATAAAGTCCAAGAGGAAAGCTAGAAATTATCCAATCTAACTTACTGAAGCATCTTGATATAGACCATGTAGCTCAACCTTCACAGACACTGACAGATTTGCGAAATTATTCTCATCTCTATGCAACTCTGGCCAAGTTTTGGTCACAGACTCAGAATTGTCAGATTCAGACCATCTTTATGGAAATAAAATATTGTTGCTGTCATCGGGAACTGAAATGTGACAGAAATTAAGCCCTTAATAAAGTTACCATGGGTAGAAGACAAGGCAACAACCGTAAATTCCCAAGAGGCCATGAGACTGAATGCCACAACACAAACATGAACATTTCAAAAAGTAATTTACAAAAATTTAAAATAAGATAGGAGAATTCCTTGAGCAAGTTAGAACCATCCATGCAGTCTCAAGAAATACGCTTTTTATGACACAATGAAAATGAAACTTGACTTTCAAAAATTTTTAAAAATAAGCAAACAATAAACAAAAATACCCAGAATACTTTAACTTCCTCATATATTAAAAAGTGAAAAATTACCATTCATACTATAAGACTGGCTTAAGTTCATAAGATATTAATAAACCTTATGGAATGTCTTTAAGCTAACAGCAGTTAGCTGAGATTTCTTTCTTCTTTCAAATCTTACATTGAACATAGCAATTAATTTCAACTGGCAATAACATTATCTATTACAGTACTATTAATGACTGAGGAAGAAAACAAACTGCTGTTACTTATCCATTTCACTCCTAGAATTTTTTTCAATTATTTTAACTGCTAAAAAAATGAAGTCTGTAAAGCACTGTCAGGAACCATCACTACAGAGAAATTTAAAAAATTAATTCCATAACTTGCCATTTTTCGATAATCTTTAACTGATTTGGAAGTACTTCCTATAATTAATTTTTCTTACTGCATACACTGCCTTTGAGAAGAATATCAAGAAGCCTTTTTCTCCTTTTCAGAGGCCTAGGGTTATTAGTTATCTTATGCTCCCTCTACTGACTGTATAAGAAATTACCTCCAAGCCTTTTAAGATGCTTCTCTGAGAGAACAGTTTAGGATTTGATATAATGCTTCAAGGAATTTCAAAAGCATGAAGTACATTTCTTGGAGTGTCAAATCCTTGTGCAAGTCAGAGTAAAACATATTTTTCTTCTTTCTAAGATAGAAGCCTCAGAAAATAAAACCTTTCTGTAGCATCCAGGGTATTAACTACTACATAACCCATTTATGATACCCTGGGGAAATTTCTTCAAAACGTTTCAAGGGTTTTATATTTACGTGGAATATGAAAACTTCAAACTTCCATTTCTGGTGTAGTTTTTAGCAATATTTCTTTATAAACTCTGCTGTTCAGCTGAATCCACAAAACCTACCTACAGTCTCCTTTACCATCCTCCTGTGCAGGACAGTAGTCTACTGCCAGTGTGACATGAGCACCATATTTAGTTTTCACACTTTCAAAATAAAACACAAAATGACCAATGGGATATAATCCAAAAAAATACATCAGGGAAAGTTCCTCAAAATTAAGGAAGGTCTTAGTATACAACCTCTGTTATCCTGAAAGGTGAACAATCTTCAGGAGAGCTTACAGTTTTGCTATTCTTTTACTGAAGAAAAATGAGTCATCTATTTCTTTTTATAAAATGTCTCTTAGTAAAGATAATACTGAATTGTCTCTATTACATGAATCGTAATAGAAGATTTAAATATCGAATTTCACTGTCACATCTAGCAAAATCTATTTAATTAGTTTTGCTGTGCATTGGAAACAAGTGATTTAATACAATAATGACCTCTATATCATGAAATCAACCATTGTCTAATAACAAAGGCTTATTAGATACATTCACACTGAATGTGAAAAGAGGAAAAAAATCAAAAAGCCATGATGAAATATAATTCCTGAATGTCATATACAGTCCTCTCTCCCACTGAGCATTAACAACATCCAGGTACTTACCAGATCAATCAGACTCTCCTGGATTCTGTTCAGTGTGGTGCGTAATCTGCTGCTGCTGAGGCCCAGTCCTGTTGATTCAAACTGGAAGAAATGCATTCTACTTAAGTTGGGAAAGGAAATCTCTTTGGTTTAAACTTTAAAGTTATACAGCAAAACTTGAGCTTGCAAAGACTATCTACAACTTGCTCGCATTAAAATTTTAGCACAAAATCACAATCACACAAAATGAAAAGAAAATCAACAGAGGTCACAGCACTCAACACTGCACTGGTATGAAGAATGACCCAAGTATCTTCCAAGAAGATGACAAAATATCATTCACACCAATAAAACATCCAGTATCTTTTATTGTTATAATTCTGTACTTAACTTCAGGACTCTAGATTTTCTCACTTGGGTGATGAGCCTAGAATGGTTCCCCCAACATCACCTCTGAGCCTTGCATTCACACCACATCCAAGTCAAATTGTTTTCACTCTTCTTTCTAGCTATACAATCCCTTGTAATCATCAAATATATATCTTGCATAAGTAAAAATTATAACCACTGATCTTTATAAACAGTCCTTATTACTTAATGCCTACGAAGATCTACCTCAGAAATATGCCATCTTCATGCTCATGGCTCAGGAGTGTATGGGGCTGATGCTCAGCTGGGATATATAGATAAATATAGATATATATATATATATACGCTATATATATGTATTTGTTTTATGTATATATATATACACACACACATATATATAGCTACACTAACTTCCTGCTAAGTGCAATGGATTATACCAGTGGAGGGTCTGATTTGACATGCATAATTATTGTAACTTCTTCTCTTCTACTGTTAATAAAATCCCCCAACAAACTAACACAACAAAGAAAGTGGAAACAGGATGCGCAACAAACACAAACTTAAGTCAACAACCTGGAAGGATTTGAATACAGTTCTGGTATGTGATTCACACCAAAAGGCAATTCGCTGAACATTATTTAGGGCACTGCTGTATGCTGAATTATTGGACTTCCTTTCAGTGGGCTGAACCAGGAAAGGAAGTATTTGAGTTTATGTGACCTCCTCCCTGCTGTGTGAATAAAGACAAGTATAATTTAGGTCACCATTTACTGCATCCAAAGTTTCTAATTTAAAATGTCCATCTGCCCCAATCCTCCTATATATTAAATGACAATTTACATCTGCGTTGAATTTCCACTGAAAGTACACTCTGATGAAATCTATAACCTCATCTAGGAGACACATCCACAAGAACAGAACCTCATGGCTTCACCATGAACATTTCACTCTTCAGTACAGCTGACTCAATTCATACAAGTTCTTGCTATTTCTATTTGCAGAACTATAGATTTTTAAATTCCATAAATTGATGACCTAGTAAGGCTAGTAAGCAGAGCATTAAACAATGTGCAGAATAATTCTGTTCATCACCAATTTTACCTCTTGTCATTAACCTCTTACAGTAATTACCTCTTATAATAATCTCCTATAGTTATTTTAAAAAGTAAGTTTACAAATTAGTGCAATGCCCTGTCAAAAAAAAAAAAAAAAAAAGAAAAATCGCCTCAATTTGTTTCTGCTAAGGAAAACTATTTTGTGGCATGTTCATGAATGTTTTAAATTTTAGTCAGTAGATGTTAAATACAGGCAATCCTTTTAATTTTTTCTTGCTCCATAATTTGAGATAAGGCCGGCTTAATTTGCAGCCCACAAGTAAAAAAGTTTTGAAAGCAATTCTGGTTGCAACAGTGTTTAATTTTTGGAAATGAAGAAAGCTAATACTGATTACATAGGATAATGATTTGAACAAGGTCAGGAAAAAGCAATGACAGCATCATGAACAGACATAGAACTCAACATATATATTTTAAATCCCTGGTTTTCACTAAGCTGGCAATGAACTCTGTATAACCAATCACTCTCCTTATGTGTGTACTAACTCACATATACAAAATAACCATAATATTCACAAATAATTTTAAACATTTAAGGAAGTTATACCAGCATACTCTAAGAATCCCACTTGACATTATTTTCTGAATAAAAATACAACCAGAACTCTCTGAGTGGTCTAAATCACATACCATCACCCATCTCTAATTTCTAAAGGTTTAGAAACACTATGGGGAGGGAGGACATTTAAGCAGCATTACAAAAGGGTTTATTACAACCACAAACCCTTGCAAGCATTGTGTTTCCCATGGAAAACAATCTGTCAAAACAAATACTAGGCACAGTACAAAAACATCACAATTTTACCACCCATCTGCTAGAACATTTACCTGCCTAGCACTGTGCTGTTCTCTGTTAAAAGCACAAAGTGAGGAAGCTGGTATGGGCTTTAGAAACACAAAACAGGAGGTGCAAAAAAATAACAATAAATGCAACACAATGTGAATAGCAGAGCAACTAAGTCAATGGAAATCAATTATCTTAAAAAACAAACCAAGAAGCCCCAAACCAAATCTCAAACAAACAAAAAACCAACAAAAGGAAAACACCCTCCACCCATCTTGTAAACACAACTTGAAAATACATTTGTCCTGCCAAACAGTTCAAAACCTTTTAGAACCATATGTTGAGTCTGAAAATTCATTACAATTTGCCAACAAATGATGATGGATTTGGCACCCCTCGACACTGTTACTTGTGGAGTAATTTAGGGGCCAAGATAGGAGAAAGTTGTTTTCACATGCAGCTATTAAGACAATTCTATTGACAGCTGATCTATATTATATAAAGACATTGCCAACAAGCATTTTTTTCAACTACAAGATCACTCAAAAAAACATTGTTTTCATTAATTCAAGTAGTTTGGCAGAAAAATACTAGATATGAAAAGGTGTCTTTCAAATTTCTTAAACTAAAGTACCTACTTAACTTTCATGGCCCCCTTTTCCTACATTTGCTATTCTCATGTAAACTAGAGAAATACATATAGAAAAATTCAATCACCTTATACTGTCTAGGCTCAAACCACCCTTCTGCAATCTCCCGTTCTACTACTACTTCTAGGTATTTCACATTGTCTTTCCTCCTTTTCAATAGTGCTGGAAAAAAGTATAGAGAATCTATCTATTCAAAACATAATATGATTAGTGTCTCGCTGACAATAATGTTCCCAGTACCTCCTTCCCTTATTGCTGATCTTATCAGCCTTGTCTTACTCCTACATTCAAATCCATTTTATTACCATTTAATTTTTCTGGGAATTACATATTAGGTAGCATTTTAAGCAAAGAGATCTCCTCTGTATTTTCATTCTCTGTGTACAGTGATATTTGAAAATGAAAAATGCTTCTACCTACCATATCATTTCGGCCAAAAAATGTATAGACTGCATACAGATAGTAATCAAAGAGCTGGGACATGAAGTGGATCACATCAAATGCAATAGGCTTCAGAATATTCATCATCTGCATGTATTTCCCTTAAAAATCAAATACAGAAGATCAGTTTCCTCAGCACAAGTGCTACAACGACAGTTCAGACAAACTCAAAGCCAATTTTATCAAGTGTATTATGTACCCTTCATCGTTTATTAACAACAAATAAATAATAGTTTACAGATTGGAAAGGTTTGAAAACAAAGCAAAAATGATGGCTTAAGACACCAATACTTCTCAAAATATAGATGTTAATCCATATCAAAATGTACTCAACCATTCTCAACTTTCTGGTACCAAATTCAACACACAACTGTCTGGATCCTCTACAAGTTTCAGCTTCATTTAGGTACAAAATAATAATCTGCTAAAGCAGTGTCTGGCAAATGCTATACAGAGCCACTGAAGATTTTATGCTTTAGTGTGTTTATATATGCATATATGGCTATTTTTCAAGCAATAGAAAAACACAGTATAAAAATGATATGCCCAAGATTGGATTTTACCCAACAACTGTAGGAGTTATGTGCTTCACATCAGTGATACAGCATTTTCTGCTCTCCTTCCTTTCTATCCTGTGGTAAGAATCTCTAGTTTTAAGTTTGAAATGTTTCCAGGGGGAGAGATTAAGAGTGAAGGAGGATGTCAGTACCCTGGAACATCCAGGGAGAAGAAGAAATCCTTCTCTTCCTTACTATTCTCTGTTGTAACATATTGGGACTTCAGAAAATAACTTTTTTAAAAATAATAAAAAAACCTCGGCCTCAGGATCTTCATCTATATGTTATCTGAATCAAACTGACCATAGGACTTGGAGTCCAAAAGGGATTTCTCCTTACAAGCCTAGTTCACAGGGGCTATAGTTTTCACGTATTTTTGTTTCCAGCATGGGACATGGCTCTTCATTGGGTCATAAAAGAAGCACATTTAATGAAAACCCTGATATGGCAGAGACTCCGCATTTCCTGCTAGATACCTCAAAAATGACATCCTGGTGGCCCTTTTACTGTTCTAAAAACATAACATATAACAGATGTTATTTTGTTACCAACAAACTGTTTGGTTATTACAGTAAGAGACAGACAGCAATTTTTTAACCAAAACACAAATACAGTCCACCCCAGCATGTATGATACAGCAGGTCATTTCACAAATTGTCATATTCCAGACATGTATAGATGTGACAAGTTAGAAAAATTACATGAAGGTGCTAAAACAATTTCTTTTTCCTGTAGTCAACAACACTCATCTTCAAGTTAATACTCTGCCCAGAGAAGTAATCTACTAATAGATAGAGAAAATATTGGTTGAATCAGAAAACTGGGGGGCAAAGAAACAAAAGCTAGCTTTTAATAAAGGGGGACTTATTTGAATTTTTCAAGCAAGTAATTGTGCAGGTCAGCAAGATAACTAACTTGAAACGGGCATGATACAGCTACATACCTGATAAAATGGTAGAGCACTAGAGTAAGAACTAAGCAATAGCCTGGCATTGCTACCTTGCAGGTTTCCATCTAATTTAGACTCCTTATTGAATGACTACGCCCCTGTTTGCTGAGACATGCAAGCATATGTTTTGTTATTTTTAGAGATTTGATAAAGGTTGTAATAATTAATATTTGTCACTTTAGCCCTTTTGTTAACTCTGTACTACTTAATTATTAATGTTTTGACCCATAGTATTATGAACAAACTGAAAAGTGGACTTAAAAATTCTATTTGTCTTCTAAAAGGGAATATCCAATGCACAGTCCAATGTGGAAATTTTTGGATGTTTGTGAAAGGATGGTACTGGTACTCTAATTAAAGTGTCACCTTCATCCGTACTAACTGAATATTCTGTATTGGATAGTCTGCCTTTTTCCACTTACTCTGTGATAAACATATTTTTCAATTTGCCTGCAATCCAATATGAGTGATGAGTCACAATCTGGACAGTTAAGACTTCCAAGTATCTGTGCAGCTGGCATCAATACTGAAGGTAATCTCTTGGGCAGTGTCTCATGCTTTTCCAAAGGGCTATGCACTACACACTGCCCAAGTACTGTACCTATAAAAATCTTCCAGTGCCAAGAACATTTCTCTATTACTACATCACTCAGCATCTTTCACAAGTGTTCCAAGAACATTTCCTCCTCATTGCTCTCTCTAACAGGACACCAGTTTTTAATGTATACACATTGTTACCTATACTTGGGCTGAAATTATTGTTTTGGGTTAAAAAGGGATATATACGAATACTTCCAAACAGCATAAACACAGTCCAAAGCCATATCAAAATAGAAATTTCCAGAAATACTTGAAAAAAACACCTAAAGTTTCAGCAACTGGAAGTAGCTTGAATTTCTAGAGGCTCTAGATAGTTTAAACTGCTAACATTTGCCAGGTTTCTTTTGAAGTATTGTTTGCAGAACTCCTTCTGTCCTTCAGGATAGCAAGTAGAGAGCATTCTTTATCAGAATAATCTATACAAAACTGATGCACCTCACAAATTAGCACAAACAAATTCTTGCCAATAAATCTTTATCAGGCCAACCTGGTAGAGTGAGCTTTAAACTAGGAAAGGTGGAGTAAGGGGAAAGTTACAGTGACCATGCATGCAGAAAAATAAGGTTTAAGTGGGATACCTCCAGCAGGTACAAGCAGCCAAAGACATAAGACAGGACTATGGGACATCCCCTTGCACTCCCACTGGGATATTGACACACTGAAATACCTCTATGAAGTGCCTGTACACCAATGCACACAGTAGGAACAAACAGGAGGAATTAGAGATGTGTAGGCAGTTACAGAGCTTTGATCCCATTGCAGCTATGGAGCTATGTTGGGATAGCTCGTGTGACTGGAATATTGTCATGAAGGGCTACATGCTGCTTAGGAAAGACAGACCTGGAAAGCACAATGGTGGAGTGGTGCTGTATGTGAGGCAACACCTGGAATGTACTGAGCTCTGTCTTGGGGTGGATGATGAGTCAGTCCAGAGTTCAAGTGTTAGGATAACAGAGCAGACTAGCAAGGGTGACACTGTCAGGGGTGTCTGCTACAGGCCACCTGATGAGAAGAAGGAAGTGGATGAAGTCTTTTAACAGAGAAGTAGAAGCAGCCTCATGGTCACAGGCCCTGGTTCTCATAGGGAACTTCAGTCATCCTGACATCTGCTAGAAGAACAAAACAGCAAAGCACAAACAATAAAGCATTGACAATAACTTCCTGACAGAGATGGTGGAAGATACCAATGAGGAATGGTGTGTTGCTCAGCCTTATACAAATGAACAAGGAAGGCCTTATTAGAAGTGTGAAGGTTGGGGACAGCCTTGGCTACAGTGACCATGAGATTGCGGAGTTCAGTATCCTGCATGAAGGAAGCAAGGCAGCAAGCCAAATTACAACTCTGGGCTTCTCAAGAGCTAACTTCAGCATCTCTGGGGATGTTCTTGGAAGAATCCCATGAGGATGGGCTCTGCAGGAAAAAGGGTCCAAGAGAGATGGTCAATATTCAAGCACCACTTCCTCCAGGCTCAAGAATGGTGCATCCTGATGACCAAGAAATTGGGCAAAGGGGGCAAGAGACCAGCATGGATGAACAAGGAACATCTGTCAAAACTCAGTAAAGCAGGACATATACAGGAGGCTGAAGCAGGGACAGGCCACTTGGAATGAATATAGAGATGTTGTTGGAGTGAGCAGACATAAAGACAGAAAAAGCTAAGGCCCACCTGGAATTAAATATGGTCAAGAAAGACTTCTTCCAATACATTAATAACAAAAGGCCTGCTACTAAATGGAGAAGGAACCCTGGTGAGGGGACACAGGAAAGGCTGATATACCAAATGCCTTCTGTGCATCTGATTCCATTGACAAGACCTTGGGAATCCCTGACCCAGGTGACTGGGAAAATGAAATGGTGGAAGGAAGTCACACATTAAGAGCTAAAACATGGCTTTGAAGGAAGAAGTGCAAAGTCTGTTAAAGACTGTGTGATTTAAGGTTAAGTCGCAAGAGGTTCTGTTATGTTACCATTCACTCACTTCAGCTAACAACTTCTGCTTTGAGGTTTGTCATCACTATTATTATTTTCTTGCAAGATAATGGGGTTTAAAGCAAGCAAAATCTAAGAATTTGTCCTCAAACCCCATTCTTCACACAAGCAAAAATAAGGCCAAAAAAAGCACTAAAACCCATTAATATAAGAAATACGCACTAAACTATTTCTTAGGTCAGAATAACATTAATTAAGAGATCACTGAATCAATATATATAATGACATAATCATTAATTATTCTTGCTGATATACAGTGCTTAAACTATTCCATACAAATTTAACACAGGTTTATTCTTCCTTTACATTTTAAGTCAACAGGCAATGGCTTGATAGGAAATATTAACCTTATAAAGTAGTCTAAGGCTACTTCATACTAGAAAGATAACTAATTACCTTAGTTAATTAATGTGAGAGAAATATGGAAAATGAACTGTTAATCTGAAATTCAAATAAAATTGTAGCTGCTCCCACTTCAATCATACATTAGCAACTCATTTATGTAGTTTATAAATATAAAACTACTTTCTAAATTATTCATTTACCCTCCATACAAAGCATACAGCGCATAGAAATACTTCAAAATGGTTACAACAAACACTGTCATACTCATTCAGTATGACACAATGGACACTACTGCTCTCCTAAAAAGTAAGACAATTATTTCTGTTACTTGATTGGGCAACTTAAATCTGCATCTTCATCACTATGATTGAAAAACAGCAAAGGAAAACATAAAAGAAGGAAAAAAGTAATCCAAATTAACAACTGACCCACTGTTTTAACTTTAAGGATGGACAATTTCAGATTGTTTTGAAGAAATGATGGAAATGACCAAAAGAGAAATATGGAGGCAAAATTAAGATAAATCGTGGATCTAAAAGAAGTGAACTGTACCAGACTAAAGTACCTGATTTTCCACACAAAGGACACAGTATATATCATCTATCTGGGATTTGGTAAAAGTATTAATATAACAACATTGCACAGTAAATAAATGAAGCTAGAATGTGTGGGAAAGGGAAGTAACTAAAAAAGCTACTGGTGGAGTTCCCAGCAATCAGCCATCTCATTAACATTGTCATGAATTACTCTGGTACAAAAAAATGAGAGTGATAATAGAAAAAAATAAAGAGGCACCATCAAAACAGAAAAAGGACTGACATAATGTACAGAAGTGCTTGATGACTGTTATAATAAGAATTGGATGAAATTCAGTAGCACAAATTGTAAATCCATGCATTTAGGGGACAATTAATTAAAAAACATGCATCTTTCTACTATAAACTAGCAGCTTATCTCTTGAAAAAAACTGGGAAAGTGAAGAATCTGCTGGCTGTACAAGGTCATTACACACTGCCAGTACAAGGAAGCTGTAAGAAATCAAAAGAGGTGCAAAACAGAAGGAACTTGGGACCATGATGCAATGATAAAAGAATTGGAAAATTCAGGAAGATCTCAACCAAAGTATTGCATGATTTTGGTAAGATTCTAACAAGAGCAGAAAATGTAAATTTCTGGTGGATAAATACAGGGGACACTAGAAATCTTGGCACATTGTTTAGCAAATCAGACTGAGAAGGAATAGGATCACTTCCTGTAAAAACAGCAGAACAGTATGCATTGAAAAACAAAATTATCTGTTAAACCTCAAAATTTCTTTTGTCATAAGATCAAGTCAGCAGAAAATAGGAGAATATTTTTTTTTTAATTCTTTAGGCTGAAAAAGGCTTCTGAAATAGAATTCCTTTTAGAATGAGTGCTGGGAATAGAAGTATTTTTAAGCTGGAGCTCAAAACAAGCATATTTACAGGCAGTACTAAATGACATCTTCCCCCTGCAGGAGGTCCTTTCCAAGTCCATGCTTTAAATAACATCACTATAATACAAAATATCACAAATACTCATTACCAAAACTATATAAAACACCTCAAACAGCAGAAAATTTGAAAATCAATAATAATTCCAGAAGGAGAAAAAAGCATATATACGAGCTTTTAAAATAATGTTTGATTTTGGGGTTATCAATATAATCTACAAGTAGTTTTCCTTATGTAAAATCAGAAAACCAGAACTACTGCTTCACCTACTGGTACAGTGTTTTATGGCAGGGACAGAGGCTGATGTTTGCATGAAAGTGCCATGAGTGGTTTCTATACTCAATCCTCAATTTTCTCAGAGCAAAACCTTATAGCAGAAAGAGCAAACAAATCTCTCCAACCTAAGTCACAGAACAATCACAGAAAAATCACAACAGAATGAACTCTCATTTCAGGTCTATATGATAAATTCTCAAGGGAAAAAAAAGGTTTTAGCAAATCTGCAAAGATGATTTAGAAAATTAATTCCTGACTTTCATGCTGCCTTCAAAGAGAGCAAAAGGTGCTATAACCAGGTATCAGAGTAACCTTTTTGAAAAGCACTTAGTCTGAAGTGCAACAATCATTTTCTAACTTTGGAGGCAAACCTCATTAATGCAACACATACAGAATTCCTCTCTCTCCTGCCTACTCAGATATATTTAGACAATTACTTTCCCTTCTCTATAAATAAACCAGAAGTCAGTAGCAGAAAATTGCTATCATACAATTATCTAGATCATCACACAGAAGGCATGATCACAAAAAATCAATCCCATCACACCTAGAATTGGAGGCAAGTGTTTTCATAGAAAAGTTTGGCAAGAAAAGCCCTCAAGAAATGGCCCAGTGCAACCTCCTGCTCAGAGCAGGCCTAAAGCCACAAGGCTGCTCAGCAGCCTGTCCAGTCACATCTTAATGACCTGCAGGGATACAGATTCCCTAAACTCCCCAGAGATTACTAGGATGTATGAGAGCTCTTTTCTTCTAGTTCATTACTATGTAGTAAAAACAGTTACTCTGAGTGTGAGAATTTGAATAATGAAATGGAAAAAAAAAAAACTAGTCATAAAGTTCTTACTTTTGCAACTATTTTACTTTAAAATAAATCTTGCTTCCTATATCTACTCTTCTAACACATTCAATATTTCAGACAAATAAGCTAGCACTATAGGTTAAAACCAATACATGCATGCAGATTAATTTTCCAGGTAAAAATAATGCACAAGATATAAGCAACTTTGTCTATTTAATTAAGGAATTTGTTTAGTGCTTTATTTCTATTTTATTAACATTTTCAAAGAGCAGAAATAGAGCCCTACTAAGTATATTTTTCAGGGCCTTAAATATCATTTAACATATTTGCTATAATCCATACATTTGTACAAAAATAAAAAACATTCACAAAAAAACAACAATTATTCTACATACCAACAAGCCTTATTACATTCAGTGTAGTGTTGGTTAGAATAGGTGCATTCACTTTATTGAGGTTATAATCTGATCTCTTTCTGCTCCTCAGAGTTTCTCGAGAAACACTTTAAAAAAAAACAAAACAAAATACAGCAAATGTGAAAACATTCAAAGACATACAAATGAAATTCAGTGGAAAATGCATTATTCCTTCCCCCTTCTTTCACATGACAGTATGTCTTCCAGTGCAGAATTTTACTTATGCCAAAGCACAACAGGGTTAGGATTCTAATATTTAAGAAAGAAGCCTGATGTAATTTACACAGAATTGTGCTACAGAAGGAATTTTTTACTTTTATTCTAATGCTGGAGTTCTGCAGGCCTCTGTCTTGCCCAAACAGTCATTTTAGTCTCTCGCTCTGAATCAAATTCATAATTCACAAATAGAATAAAAACAACACAAGTCACAACAAAACAGGCAGATTTGTCAGCTACAGCTGAAAGTTACTACCTAGAAATAGAAGCAATTTTGAGGAAGGTGAAACTAAAAAGTCATTAACTTTTTCACAAATTTTGGTCCTGAAAGAGGCAGGAAGTTGGACTCGATATTTATCCAACAAGACACATTTTAATTTTCTTTAAGAGAAACCCTCTGCCAGTTGCCATACCTCAAAATTATATTCTTCCAAAAATTTGAATTTCACAGCACAAACCTATGGACAGCACCTCCTGCTTGTTCCAATTAAATGATTTTTGACTATATCTCCATCACTCCTTTGAAAGGAGAGAGTTTACATTGTAAACCTTATAGAAAGAATCATGCTAACAATATTTTATCCTAAAGAGTTATCTCGTAACTATTCTGCTATTCTGCTTTGATCCAAGTGATGGCATTCTGTTTGTCCTGCAAACCCTACATAAAAAAAATGTTAGCCTGCTTCACAGAGTCCCAATGTACATCTAAGTTGTACAGTGTCCTAGACAGAAACTTGTTTTCAAATCCTTTTAGAGGATAAAAAGTTGGCTTTTTAAATATGAATATATATAAATAAAATACTTTTTATATACATCAAAATAGAACATGTATATTTATTTATATACATATATGGTATATTAAAGAAAAAGGGAACTTAAAATTGAAAAGTACTGTCTTCAAGCTATGGAATCTTTTTTTTCCCTTAACCTGTAGAAGTTGATTGTTCTGCAGAAGCCCAAATCTCAAAGCATTTGTCTGCAAACAACCACTTTTGACAAAACAGAAATTACATATATGCACAAGAGCTGCTATAGAAGGACCTTTAGTTAACATATAGTGCTTATTAACCAGTTTTCCACTACCTGCTTCAGAGATCCTTCACCTGCTGTCAAAAGGTTCCTTTATTCAGGTTTTCTCTGCAATAATGATGAGTGGTTTAATGTTCCTCCCTGCTCTGGAGATCTAAGTGCTGAGCCTTCTAACTGTGCAGGCAGCATAGTGTTTATTTGATTATTATTCCACTGTTGTAGATTACAGAAACTGAACTAATTAGAATACTGAGATGAAAACCATTTGAATTAGACCAAGGACCCACACAGCCAACTTACCTTTTAATTGGGGCATCTCCTGTCTGCTCATCCACATAATCTCTTTTCAACTCTTCAGGAACATCACTGTCACTGTCATACTCTTGATATGCACTTTTTTCTTGTTCATCTGATTCATACTGGTAAAAAAAAAAAAATAAGAAATTGATGACAATTATTTTTCTTATAACATTATCACTCATTTAATGTTGCACTTTGGTCGCTTTTTGGCTTTTACCTTGATTGGGATACAAACAACTTTGCTGTTGAAAGGCTGCTGACAACACTCTTTAAAAATGCAGCAGGCAAATTATATTATGGTGATTAGGTAAATACCTCTATCATTCTATTTCAGCTACCAATAATTTGTGTTCTTTTCTAGTTAGTTTATAAACATATTTGAGCTTTTGTTATTTTCTTACAATCTGAAAAAAACAGTAATAAATCCTCAAAATTCATCCATACAATGGCAGTAAAAAAAAAAAAAAAAAAAGAAAAGAAAAAACTCCTGGCACTGTATAATAGTTAATTATTACTGCAAGAAGAACTAAACTATTGCTTCACAAAATACTTCTTTATACTGCACAACTGCACACATTTAATTAAGAAAATAACCCAATATCAAAAAATAACTTGCAGTTATGCAGAATGCACCTGCACTCGAAGAGAGACACTTTTCCTTAACTCATACACTGCTTTGAAGCCACTTTATCCACACAGTCAATACACAGGTAACATACTCTGGTTCCAGGATCCTTAAGAAATGGCAGCCAAAACACACTAGGACATGTATTTTTTCAGTCACACATGCCTTGGTCCCCAGTTGCTGAGAGTTTTCAAGGCTAGCAGTATGAAAGCACTATGTACAAAAGCAAGAGCCCCACAGTACAAACAAATTCAACACAAAAACAGCTCAGGTGGAAAAAAGAGAATGTAGTATAAGACACTCGAAAGAAATGTTCAGACCAATAGAATTCCCAGGCAAAATATCTGCATCATGAACATTTTAGACAAAGGAAAGTTGTGAAGAAAGCAGCTCAGTTTATTTCAAAAATGAGCTGAGGTCAGCCTTGACGAAGCACAAAAAGAAACACTTTATCTAACTTGACTGGAACAGTAGCACAGAGAATTACCACCACTTATTATGCATTAACATATAATAAATGATGTGCTGATTCAATTAAAATCCAGTGACAGTAAAATGATAAACTGACCACAAATTTTAACTACAGTTCATATTGATGTAAGAATCTGTCAGTTGACATTAATGAACTGTCTTAACATCATAGAATTAGAAGGATTTTGAGATGTATTTTTTTTTAACATGGCAAAATACTTTTATTAAGTCCCCTCAATCTAATGCTATTAATGATCTTGAACAGCTTTTTTTAATGAAATAAATGCATTTGTATTTTAAAGTATGTAACTATTAAACAGTGACCTCAATCTGAAGAGACCTTATAAATCTACTTTGAATATACACAGTCTGCAGCAAAGCTTTGAAGTGCTAAAATGAATTCAGGTATCTTGTAGCAGTAATGAGGTGAAGTGTTAAGGAAATCCACTCAAATCAACCTCCAGGAAGCTGTAAGATTCATCAAAGTTGAATAGTGTTACAATACTGGAAGTTAACTGTATCACAACAGACACATTTTAAGAAGCCACAGAAAAGGGACATAAAGCATCTTACCAAAGCTCAAGATACAGAGCTGAGTTAATTGGGTCCAGGGGCCCCATTTTGCAACATCTAAGCACTTAAAGATTCTAAAATTCTCAAAAGAAATCCTGACAGGTCTTCCCACCCTACAGATAAACTGACAAGTAAATTAAATGTTTATGTCCTTATCGTGCTACTTCTTTCTATATTTGGCAACATGCCTATATTCTCTGGAAGCAAAATTTTGCAATCTCCATCTGAAATAATCCCAATTTTCAGTGCTAAAATGTGCCTCCAGCTAAACTGGTCAGTCACTGAAACACAAAACCTTAGTAAAAATTTTATCCTGCGTTATTTAAGCACGTTGTTTATCTTTCTATGTAAAGAATAACAAAATAGGTGTACCTTCTACATTTTAAACAGGAGTTCTCTCTGTGTCAGCACTTTGGAATAGACAGTTGTGAGACTGAAACATTAAAGGTTAATGGCTCAAGCAATTGGCAATTTGCAAGAGCAGCAGGTGCTCTGCTGAGGTCAGGTTTGCACAGCCAACTGTGGGCTGGCAAAACCTCTGATCTTCATAAGACAGAGGAGGTGCACACCCACCACCAGAGGATGACCATGAAAAACCAGCCTGTGTTTAGCAACAAGCCATTTCATGACACAGATAAGGGAAAAAGGTAAGAAATAAACAGATCCTGCGAGACAGGATAATGCTTTTTATCATGACAATGTCCTTCCCACGAGAAGGTATCACATAAGCCTTAAGGTATTCACCCCTTCTGATAATGCACAATTTGCTCAACTAAGCCAGGTCAAACAGCAGTCAAGTTATTTAGAAGGGGCCACAAACCATCAAAGACCCCCAAAATGCCCCCAGATTCATTTCTGCAGCCTTCCACCAGAGGACTGCACACAATCCACAGTGTTGCAGCAGTCAAAAACACCCCTGCAGTGGAGGTATCCTGGCTGCTCTCCCCTGAACATGAATGTCTTTTAACCCAATGAACTTCCATGTTTGGTGGTTTCCCTCAGCCCCAACAGATCACGATTGTGGCCATCAGTTTGACCAGTGGACACTGAAATTGTAAAAACCAAGTCCCAGTTAGATCCAAGAGCTGTGTTATCTTTCCACTATCTACTCTTACCCTTTCCTTCTTTTTTTTTTTGTATGTTTTGTTAAGTTATATCTTGATACTTTTATATTGTTCTATTACTGTAGCTAACAACATGCCAAATAAAATGGCTACATATCTCATTTCCACTGAAACCAAATTGTTCTACAATAAACCTGCCATTTATATGTATGTATAAACACCAATCATTCAGTGTTGTTTCACTCTAATCCATCCCAAAGGATCTATTAACAAGTACCTCACTTACCCTGCCTCGGGGACAGAAATGCAGAGAGGAGACTAAAAATGTCAAAAGGGAAAGTAGGACAGTTATCTGTAGAGTACAGTCACCTCAGTCATAAAATACCTTCGTTCCAGTACCAGCCCAGGGAGATATTCTGTACACAAGTTAACTAACTTGCTCTGTGCCTCCATTCAGAGAGACAAATTTCTGTCTGTTTTACACTTGTGTTTTGTAACTCATGCAGGTTTCAGAGTGCCAGTAAGACCTGCAGGACCACTACTTCTCTCATGAGCCTGCAGTCTCTGTGACAGAGGTCCCTTCCAACAATAACAATTCAGTGATTCTGTCTTACTGACATAAGGCAGCAGTGTGACACTTCATGCTGGCAAAGCCCACAAAACAGTGTCTACAATATGTTCATCAGCATTTGCTACCTAGTTTTTCATCAAATGATTTAATGCTTGCAAAAGCTTAGCACAGAGTAAATGTCTTCTTCAATGTCTTCTAAATTTTTCTTTGAGCAAGGAGAAATAGATTCTGAAGGCTAAAATGTTAGAAATGGAAACACCAAAGAAGGCCTGTCCTAACTTGTATTCAGAGTTTTCACATCTCATACAAATGTGCAGAGAGAAATAAAAACACCTCAGCCTATCCATAGCTAAGAAATGAAGACAATTCTACAAACCCTTTCTACAAGTTTGCTGCTTACAATATGCTGCTTACAAGTCACTAAACAAAAAATATGGGAACAATGCAGGCTCTCATTCACTAGCAGCAATCCGCAAGGTATCAAAGGAGTTTGAAATCACTAAAGCAGCAATTATTCTTTTTTGTTCTTAAGATGTTATCCAGCCTCAGTAGCACAAGTTAAGCCCAAGAAAACATCAGTCCTCAAAGGAATAAACAATAACAAAAACATTATAATGTAGCATTTAAGAAAATGGTACAAAGTTTTATATTGAAACACATTTGATCACTGATTTTTGACAGACTTCTAAAAAAACTCCACACAGTTATTGTTCAGTTTTATAGAAGAACTCACAATAAAGAGAGTGTCCTGAGCACTTCAATTACAACTAAAAGTGATGTAACAAACATCAGAAAATCACAGCAAATCATATTTGAGCGAACAAATACAACAAAAGGAGCAACCCACAATGATTCCTTCCTATGAAGCCAGAAAGCAAGTCCTAAAATGATAAAACCACCTCCACAAAGAAAGCTAACCTCTGGAAAAATACTAATTTAGGTGGAAAATGTCTTGCTAACCTTCAGGAATGCTTGACTTCAGTGGAAAAAAGTACTGATTCAGTGCAAAGCAAACTGAACTTTAAACAGGATGCCTGACTTTCTGGCATCCATTTTAAAAGCAAAACAGCAAAGTACTGCAGCCAACAGATTCTTGTACTAAGGCGCTTTACCATCATTGCCTCACAAAATAAACCATCATTTACTGAAAGCACTATTTGCTTTTTTTTCCTGGAACACTCCATACCCCATTGGAAGCTAGCACATCCTCTGTCTCATCATCCTTGCTGTCGGCCTGGATTTCGAAGGGGTTTCCCGTGGCGCAGTACTGCTCGAACAGTGTCACGGCCGATGAAGCCGCAGAGGCAGGCTGCTTGCTCGGCGACACCGACGGGGAACGCGACTGCTCCAGGAACTTAAATTCCTACCAACAGAAATACACCATGTTCTCATCAGGCATTTTCAATATTATTATGACTCCAGTTCCATAAAAACAAAGGATAACAACAAACTTGTGGACAATTAACTTTTAGCCAAAGTTTGCTGCTTATTTAAGCATGCTTTTCACGCTGGCTCAAGTTAACCTCAAAAGTGACAACCTTATGCTGCTTGTCTTTGTACTTTTAGAAGTTTTCTGCTACAACATGCAATATATCTGTATTCTGAAAGTATTTACTGTCTAAAACTAGGTGAAAAGAAATTGTGTTTTTTATTTCACAGAAATAAGGAGACTTAAATTCTATCCATATCCATATCCATATCCAAAAATGCAGTTTTCTTTACACAAGTTACCTAGTAATTTACTAAAGCTGAAATTTTCTTGCTGATATTTTATTTTTTAAAAGTTGTCAAGATTTTTTACTTCTCAAACCCATAGCAGAGTTTCTGAGCACTATGTGAGTACACAAACTTTTGCAAGTGTATGGACCAAGCAGGATCCAGAAGGCATGATTTTTTTTTTACTTTTTTTCCCTAAGAAAACACAACTTATCTCCGATGACATACCATTTTTATCTACTGAAGTCTAGCTATTGATATTCATAACAGTAAAATGTACATTTTCATTTAACTAAAGGTTCAAAGGTTAAAACACATGCAGCTAAAAGGACTGCAATGTTAGATTTCAGTTTCCTTAAACAAATCAGTAACTTTCTGCCATTTTCTGCTGCTCCAGTCCCTTGAGCAGTATGTACAGATTTATAATCCCATTTCTTTATTAAAAATATTATTTCCTTTGCTGCTGGATGCTGCTGAGGGTCTTCCCTCCCTTTCCCTCCATACTTTCAATGACCCTGTAGCCCATTGCTTACTTCTACAGTTAACTCCACAGAGGCTGCAAAATGATCTTGCTTAACATTGCTGTGCTAAGACATTTCTGAACTTCACTTATAGCTTTAATCACAGGCACCATGTTTTATTTGGCAAAACAAGTTAATTTCATCCACCACATGCTAAAAATAAAAAAAATCACTTCAGATGATTAGAAGGTAAGTACAGTGATTACTTGCTTTCAGTTGGACTTCACCACAGAAGAATATTTTTTTTCCTGTCCAAATGAGGCTGTATGACCTATGTTTCCAGAAACAGATGCCAAGTTGGTACAAGCTAGTGAGTGCTCATGTAACTACTTGCAGGCACTCATGTTTTAGCATCTTACTGTCAGATAAATATTTTAGAAATTAAAAACAGACATATTAACAATACATTGAAATTAACATTACATTGAGGCTAACATTATGCTTACAACTCTAGCATCTTCCATAAAAACCACTGCCTGCCTGAAACAGAAACACTACTGTTTCGAAACCATTTGACTCCTAAGTTTCTAATATCATAAAGTAAAACTGAGGAGTTTTTAGAAGCAATTAAAAACATTTGTACAGTAGTTAATGGATCTTACTACTTCTTAGAACACTGTGACTCAGTTATTAAATATTAATACATTTGTAAATTTTATGCATAGAACGTACGTGAAGCTGCAAAATACTAAAGCTTGATTTAACAGGACAAAGTTCCCAGGTCTCATTCTCCAAAAACATTCTTAGTTCCTCAAGACGGGTTCTGAAACACAAATGAATACTCTTAATTGGCAGAAAGAGTAAATCACAAAATTGGCCATTACGTCACTTCTGCAGTGAAAAACTCCTTCCAGAACTGTACAATAAGTTACACTTTAAAACAAGTATTTAGGCAACTCTTCCAACTGACAAACCACTCAAAAGCTGTGGCTACCAAAGCAGAATATTTTTTATGACACCTCCAGAGAATGATATTCTTTGAGACTATCTCCAAAATTTGTAAACTGATTTTTTTAGTCAAAATCATTACAAATTATAGAGGGACAGCTACAATTATGCAGAAATACTGGATCTTTTTCCTCTGTAAACTGTAGAAAGCAATATAATATATACAAACACTCCAGAAGCACAACAGCTTCTGAGAGCCCACATAAGACAGGTATTTCTTTCAAACACACTGAAGCCAACAGATAGTAAAGGGAAGTGGAAAGAAATAATATTCTACAGACATACCAACCTTTCAAAGAAAAAACTGAAATGGCTATTAGTCTCTAATTTTCTTCATAGCTTAATTTTACTTTGGTATCAGTAATACAGTAATAAGGAAAAGTAATCAAGCCATTACATCTCTGTATTTCTTCTGTTGTTTTTAATCACTAGAAAAACCTTCACTCTGTCATAAGCAGAAATATCTTTGATAAAGAAAAAAAATTTGCCACATAAATGGAACATATAGGAAAAGACAGCAATGAATGCTTTTTGGGATCACACTGCTCTATCTTTTCCTCTTAATATAGGGCATATGGTTTTGTTTAACAAGTAACAGTTGGTAAATTATGCACTGGGTTTCTAATTAGGCAATAAAATATTCTAGGAATACCACAACTTCAATAATGAACTACAACCACCACTAAAATTAAGATTTGCTTGCCACAATGAGATAAGCAATGTGTTGAATTGCGACTACAGTTTGCAGTGTTTATTTAAATTCCCAAGTTAAACACAAATAGACTTTAAGTGCTATTTTCAGGCCATTGAGCACCCATAGCTTGCAGATCTTCTCACAGTAAAGTCAACAGAAACAACAGACAGAGATACTGTGAAAACCAGCATTAGAGATTAAAAATCTTTGTGAGGGAGACTGAGGTGAGAGTCATAGAAAAGCAAACATTCAAAAGCCACACAACAGGTTTTGTAGCATCTAGAATCTGAAACCAAGGCTCTGACAGAGTACTTAAACAAATGTTCTTAATTTTTACCTTACATTTAGAAAGGGGAATGCATGAAGACCTGATGCATTCATTCTCTGAAAAGCTTAAGTGATCAGACACATCTTTTTACAAGTGTATCAGTGCAAAGTAAATTGCATTTCAAAAATCATCTTATTGATGCTCTTTGCCAAAAGCCCATTCTGATTTATCAGAACAATCAGCTTGCACTCAAAAAAAAGGCTTCCTGTATGCTCTAGTAGTATGTTCTCTTCTATGTTTTTTGAATCACACAGCCAATTCCTTTCAATATTTTCTCTATGTTGGCAGTTCTCCATAACACCATATTGCCCAGGAGGCCAGATATGTCAAACTACACAAAGAACTGATTACTCCTGGACTCTGAGCATTTCAGTTCTGTGTAGCTTTCATGTACTAATGAATCCTTAAAAGCACTCCTACTTTTTTTTCCCCCTCCAATTAAATACCCAAGAGAAGTGAAAGCCACATTAGCTTGATCTGAAAAGGTAAGATGCTTAAAGCTTTATATAAAACAACCTAGGGGATATAGCTGTGAGACAGGGTTTTTATGGTTTTCCTTCTGATAATGAAAACATCAGCCAATTAATCTTCACAATACCCTTGCAGCACAAAACACGTAGAAAGTATTAAAAAGTTTCATATAATTTAATTCATGTCAATAAATATTTATTTTCACAAGAATTACATTATCTTAAAAAACAAGTTATTACAAAAAAATTGCTATTTCTATACACATTCCAGCAGTGTTCCTTAACCTTTATTTACTCAAAGATAATTCAGAAAATTAGCCTATGATTACTTAAACTGTTAAACATACACAGGACTGTAACAGTCAAAATTATATTTACTTAACCCAAAAAGGCACTATGTGATAAGTCAGTGTTAAAATATGGTTAGGTAGACCAAAATCAGTTCATGAAATTCTGCCTAGGATTAGGAAAAATTTCAAGAAATAAAAATAAGTGGCATCTTCTGACAACGTGGATCTAATTAAGGCTCAAGTTTTTCAGACAACTGGAAATGATGCCTTTATCAAATGACGAGAAAGAATTCCTAGCAGCAAAACTACCAAAGCTGGAAGAAATTCCAAACCACATTCTCATCTTCTGAATTTAGACACTGTTTCATGTCCTCCTTGCACTAATTTTCATACTTCATGGATTTTAGGCAGAAAGCCTAAGACTTCTCAAATGGCTCTGGATGTATTAGTTGTATGACAGCTCCCAAACAAGAGGGCAACAGATCAAGACTAGGAAAGTAAGCATTTCCTAGAACATGGAAGGCTGTATATCTTCTCACATCTTCCTAGTTTTTACACACAGAAAGAACATAATGCTAGACAACTAGAATTACAAAGTTGTCCATCACCCAAATCAAAACATTTCTAAAATCAAGACAACAAAAACAAACAAACAGAAAGATAAGTCTCAATGCTGTTATAACCATATATCATATCTGAGTCCAGAGAATGCTTGTCCACGACAACACATGACTGGCCTCAAGTGATATGACAACAGAGCTGACTGAAATGTAATTATACCCTGTCAACGAACAAGCCGTGAAGACACGTGAAGGCTCAAAAGGTTGGACTCAGTTCTAAATATCTTACTTGATTCAAGTCAGAATTGCACATTGGAAAACACTTCATAGTCATAAGTCTTCTCATGATGTCATAATCATGATGAGTCTTCTTAAACAATAGCATAGAATAAGAAGACACAATTTTGCTACAAAGTATGGACTTCAGAGGCATTCCTTCTCAGGACGCCACCAGAAAAGAAGCAACCTAAAAAACTACTGAAATTCTACATTAAAAAGTTGTTCATCTTTATCTGACTTGCCTGCTGCAGAACTACAGCTTTCCACAAACACAATGGAAGCAAAGGCTTCTCTATCCTCTCCCCTTCTCCACGGTTCAGAGCCTTATTGTCATCAGAAAACATACTCTACAGTCAACCTCAATGCAGGAACATTATGCAGCGGAATTCCTCTGGAAAGCATTTACCCAACAATAATAAATGTCTTTAGAATCATCTACTACACATATAATAGCCTCACCTGTGGTATGTTTTGAAATAGTTAACACTTTGTTTTCTGATAGATTCTTGCAAAACTTCAGACTTACTGCCACAAAATTCTTCTCCAACCTGCATCAGCCTAGAGTAATAAAACAAAGTTTAGACATTTTTATTGATTTCTTAATACTGCTGTTCCAACTGTGAGTGTAGATGTATCTTCATAAACACAGAGTACCAGCGTTGCATTGCAATGTTAAGGTTGCATTCCACTAAAGTCCTATGTCTCATTTTCCTTCAAATGCTATCACTGTGTGCCATACACATAGAGACAAAGAGCCATAAGCAAAATAAATGTATTTTTGAGAGCCTGCTACACAGGGCAAGCTGTCAGTTCACAGTCTCAATCCATCATTTTATTACCAAAAAAGAAGGATATAATATTGTACAGGTTGGCAGTATCACATCATTTTTTCTGCTTGACTCAGATCCCCTTTAAAAGCTCTTAGAAAAAAATGGCTAGACCTGCACATACCTTATCTTAAAAGCAGACAATACTGAAATCATATCACACTTAAGCAGCGAAGTGGTTCATGCTACCTCTCCTAAATAGATCCTCATAAACTCTCACATATAGAAGAATTGGTCTTCAAGCTATCAGCACATTGGAATGAAATTAGCATCAAAATGCGAATGTCAGCCTTAATCAACAGTGCTATCTTATCAGAGCTCATTTGTGGACACGTACTTAAAGGTCTTACAACCACACCAGCATACCTGCTGATAACATCAAGTACAAATATGAAGTCATCATATTTGAAGTTAGACAAATCTGTTCCCAGAAGATATGTTTTCACTTTCAATTGAACATCCTACAAAACACAATCAAGTTTTTGAATAGTTAATACACTGAAAACAAAAAGTGAAGGCTTGGATGCCTAGTTCATTAACACTTGTTGGTTGCCTGCATTTAAAAATTCTTTTTTTGAGATTTAGAGTAGAATTCCATTTTCTGTAACATGGGTAATTTCTCTAAAACAATATTATAATCAGTTTCTTTAGCACTTTGTAAAACAGATAGAGTCAATCCTAGATGCTTTATTGTCAATGCAAAAACGGAACTCAGCTTTTACATTATACATTTTGGGTGACACTGCACACCAAACTGATCCAGCAATCACACCAGGAATACCATGAAACCAGTCAGGTTCACAAAGCTCCAGGTTCTCCAGAGCTATGGTTAAACCAGAAATATAAAGCAGTATACAGAGAAAAGCACATGAGAAGAAAAGAGATTGTGTGGCAGCACACAAGTTGAAATAAATGGGATCAGACAAAAAGTCCTATTACTATGTTTTGGTATCTGACTGAATTTGGAAGCATTACAATCACTGAGTCATAGAAATTGTATTTCTGTGGTCACTTTAAAAAAGTCCCTTTAAAAAAAATCTGGAGACGTTTCTTTAAGAACATTAGTATAAATATAACCATAATTAATACTGGAGAGGTGGAAGGGGGGGGGAATAAATACTTAGAGGGAAACAAAATTCAAACCCCATACCTGCCATATTCGTGAAAGCCCATGCTCCAATTTCTTTTTTACATAGTTGCGATCAAAACTGTTCTCTTCAGTTCCAATCACATTGTTGCCATCTGAAACTTCAGGTCAAAGGCATTTTAAGTATTTCCAAAAGCTTTGAAAGTTATCCTACACAGAATTACACTTCCTTAGCTATTGCCATATTATTGATTATCCTAACTCCAGAACTATTTTGCTCTAAACTTTTGAACAGAAATGAATAATGCACATATAAGCATATAAGCATTACATGCAAATGCAGACCAGGAGAGCTCCATCACCTGCATATCAAACACCTGTCCCCATAGTGCTCCTTGGGTAGTAATGTACTGCAAGGATCACAGTGAGAGCTCATCCTAACTGACCCTTGCAGTGCTTCATTACTAGGCTTCACAGCTTTTTCCAGACAAACTCCTGGTTTAGCTTCACCTTCCTTAGAGAAAAGAGCAATTTTTCATGTCTTAATTTTGTTGTCTACTGAAGAAGAGCCCGGAAACATAAACAATGAACATATGTCCTCCATTTGTCAGCAACGTGAAATTTTTATCAACAATGTAAGTGTTCTTTCCTTGTCATGCCTTGTCCTGAATCCAGACCTTGCAGTCTAGATGAATATCATGTAAATATTGTGAGCACCTTACTAAAGAGGCCAGTAAGGAATGGGAGGCTGGGTACAAGATTTTTATCAGCCTTTTCAGGTATGAAGAACAGACCCTGCAGCATTGTCTGGACTACCACATGCTTAAGAGAATGAAAGCAAAAACATCCACTAATAGGAATTGTTATGACTTGTATCAGACACTGACAATTCAATTAAACCAAAACAACAATAGAGCACAGCAGTCTGGCCTTGTTTTGATTTTATCTCCTTCAGATAATCCAGTGCTCACTGTCAAGTGAGCAGTTTCCTTCTGTAACAATCACCAATTATAAATAGCACTCAGCAGTGCCTCATTCTCCCAGTCCTAGGCCAGGTTCTTCTAAGTAGAACAGCATCATGTACACCATCCTTCTCCTGATCAACCATCTGGTTTCTGATTTGAACCTTTCCAGAGTATGTTTCTCAGAACAAGAACTATTGCCTATTATAAAAAATATTTATATAAACTTAACAGGAGCAACAAAAACATTATATCTTCTACATGTGTACCTCCATTTAAATTCAAAAAACAGATTTTGAATACTGAGAAGGATGCTGGTCTTGCTTGATTTCTTTCAGATGGAGTCATAAGGCGTGGCTGGATGTTATTAAATTATGAACTTTATTTAACACTGAGAAAGCTTTACTTGTAAACTAGGGATTACAGCAGTGAACATGCAAACACTACCAAGAACTACTGGCAATCTAGTTAAGCTAGTGTGCCCACAAGGCTGGAACTCAAGAACATAGAACCAGCACAGTAACCAGCCAGAACGTAAAAGTTCCAGTACTGTGAATCGAATAACTCCTCGTCAAAATTAAAAAACATAATAAAATACAGTACAGAATTTGGGTTTATATTAGGGATATTCATTTTTCAAGGTTGCAAATCTGCATTCAACTTTTTCTTGTGTTAAGACAGTGAGACTGTTTTTGCAGGTTAACTGAGAATCTACCCTAATAACTCAAAATGAGATGATAAGAGGCTGTTTTATATGCAAACAAGACCTAAACTTAATTCTATACTATATCTACTGTTGCAGGGCATGCAAAAAATGTTCCTTAGGAAAGAAAAATAATAAAACAAATATTACCCACTGTCTACATAAATCATAATTTACTAACTGTACCTAAATATGCTCATCTTCTGAAAGTAATAATTCTGACAAATTCATTTTCCTGATCTTCCATGGAAGATTAAATGAAACACAAACAGAAACAATCTAAGAATCTAATGAACAGAAAACCTTTTCTATGAAGAGAAAACCTTTAAGTGGATTTAACCTTTCCTGGACTATCAAGGAAACAAAACCAGCAATCTCAGCCAGAGCACACTCTTTGTGTGTTTCTGCAGCCTCCTCTCTTTGTACTTCTGCAGACTGAAGGCAATGCTCAACAAGGCAGTATCTTTTACCTGTTGGTCTCTAGATCAAGACCATAGTCCCTGTACTCCCAAATTGCCATTCTGGAAGGAATGGTTGGACAGACACTGCAATATAGATGTTATTGTTCACTAAAATAATCAATGGAACATTCTCTCTCTGTCAGTCTCCCAATGGTCTTGGTTTATGGGCAGTCATGCTAAGAGGTCTTGCTTCCAGTCCTTTAATGAACTGCACTGCAGCTAATTTCACACATGCAAACACATTAATTTAGGTTGATTTCCTTGAAAAATCAAGGACTGCACAAGCGTTTACACATTTTGCATTGAGGAATTTGAAACAGGCAGAGAACACATATATTCATAACTACACATAAAAAGAAGGACCAAAACCATCCAGGAGTCATTATTCTAGATGTCTGATTTAAATACAGTGATTCTTCAGGTTTTTCAGTATTTCTCAAATTTCAAAAAGGCAGCTTGCAGTAATAACAAAAGGTTTTTGTTTAATCCCTGCATGATAGAGGAAAGCAAAAAAAAGGACTCAATCAAATCTCTGTCTTCTAGCTTCACTCTTTGAATACTAAGCAGGTCTTGCCCAGAATTTACACAGTACTATAAAGGAAACATTTTAAAAATTAAAATGGTTCCATTTGAATTTACATCCTACATAATTTTCTTGTCATTTTTCTTTGAATCTTTTACAGATACTAGAGCTGTTACCAACCTTTATTCCTAGGATTACACATGTGAAATCAGAAGTTTAAATGCTATAGTGATCATTTTACCACTCACTTTCAGGTCTTCTGTTAAGTCATTGTCTCACAAACACATGTAAATTACATCAACATCACAGTAAATTTCATGCTATGAAACCAGGCAAGCCTTCACACAAAGTAGTGTGACTTCAAAGATCACTTTGCTTTGAGCAGGGAAAACAAAAATTATCTGCATAGATCCCTTTAAAATTCATTTTCTGTTTGATTCTTTACTAAAAACATAAACAATGCTCTAACCACAACAAATAGTGTAATGGAAAATTTTCCAGTAAGTAGCTTATTTTGAGGGATGAAACCCCATATTACAGCAATTTGCTGTTTAGCATACAAACAACAAAATCATAGACTAAGTAGTGGCTCATTAAATATGACACAGATATAGACAAATATGACATTAATTTCACATTATGTTGATAATTTTATTTCACTAATTTTATGTTCAGTTTGATTAAACAAGTTCTACATATACTTAATTCTGTCTTTCCAAGGACTTCTTTTGTATAAGTTTCACTACTAAAATACAAAGAGCTTTATTTATAATGTCTTTCAAGTCCAGCTTCTCACTTCTACAGTTGTACTTGTGCCTTAAGATCAAGAGTCCCTTAACACATTTAAGGCACTTTCTAAGAGTATTGAGATTAACTGGGACAATACTGGGACAGCCATGAGTTCCCAAAACTATAAAAGCCAGATACAGGGGTACATCTACTGCTCCAGTCTGGGGGCTTATATGAAGAACAACTTCAACATAATCTCCTGAAGTGGCTCCCTGGTTCCCTCTGACATACATGCCCAATCTACAGGAATTTTACTCTTTGACTTTACCACATATCACAGCCATCAAATCAATAAGTATGAAATGAGAATTCCCAGTACAGTTTCAATAATTACTATAGAATAAGCAATGAGTTTTAGAAAAACAACAACCAGTAGATATTTACAGTCCCTCTGAAATTAAACTGTACTTCTAAAATTCCCTTCTGTGTGCTTTATCATTGCTGAAGTATTTGAAAAAGTGATTCAGCAGATCACTACATTTCAGTTGTACATTACAGCTAAGCTGTAACTCCAGAAAATTAAAAACTGAGTGACAGAAAGCTAGTAGTAAACATACCAAAACACTCTGGCATGCATTTAAAAGCAGTGTGTCTAAAATTATGCATCTGACTGTATAGATAACTTTATTAGGCTTAATGGCTCCTGCAGAAGGCTTTAGAGTGCAGATTGTTTTCTTTCCTCAGGATGTCACAAGTAACGACTCTAAGGGGAGCTAGTTTTGTAAGTGCATATGTGGCTGAATTAGGAGTCTACTGTGACCATTTTTCCATTAAGTAAGTTCTTTATGGTACCTGCATGATTTTACATCTGCAAAAATCACAGCAAGATGGACACAAGAGAAGAAAATGTAACTATCTTTATGATCTTTTTTTTTAAGATTCAACACAAAAGGGAAGGACATTTCCCTGAGCACTGTTTAAAATAAAATTATTTATATCTGCAAGACTGGCACATACAAACATTCATTAAAAAATTAATCTTATACTGGAGACTACAAAAATCCAGTAAGTGCTTTAGCCCTTACTGCACACTATCAACAAAAATGCTGAAGGCACTGGGGCAAGACCACAAAGACACCAACACATAAATTAATAACTTAAGCTTAAGTTATTTCCAAATATCAGAAGTTTTGTTCCCGAGGTTTCTTACCAGAAGATACAACCGCTGCCTCATCTTGGTCATGGTTCTCATGCCACTGCATCGTTCGGTAGTAACTGAGCATGACTTCCCAGAGGGCTTTGCAGAGATCAGCAAGGCATGGAATGTAGCTGTCTGATGTGATGTGCTACAGAACAACAAACAGCATTGGGAAACTTCAAAATGGTGTTCATTTTTTGCTGCAGCAACACAAACCATAAGAAACTCTTCAAATTTATATAGAGGAGCTGACACACAGCAGTTTCATTTTCAATGTATTTTAAGAAGTGACAGATTCCTGATTTTGGTCAACTAATCAAATGCTGTCCAAAAGTACAAAGTGTTTTTGTTAGCATCCTTTTTCAATTTCCTCAATTGGCCTGTATGTTAACTACTTTTACATTTACTTCACAGTGACACAGATGCAGAAGTAAGACCATCTCACTACCAGAGGGATGCAACCACCCTATGTGTCAGTTCAAGGACACAGACTTTTGTACTGCAGTGCTACAGAGAAGCTTCCTGGCAAATACTCCACTGGGTTGAATGAGATCTAAAGTAGTAGTAAAAAAAAAGCAACTTCCAAATTCAGCAATTTTCTCTATTAACTCATGTTATTCTTCCTGTATTTCAGAGCTTTTAGTATCTAAAATCTAAAGTTCTTTTGCAAATCACTACACTTGAAGACATACTGACTTTCAGGTGGACAGGAAGAAAGGATTACTTACTAAATACCAAGATAATTCAATTTAAACTAAGGAAACAACTGAATTTCTTTGAGCTTATACTAGAATAAAGAAAATCAAAACTTGAGACTGAAGCAGCAAAGCTTTGCCCTGCTCCAGAAATATTCAAAAAGCATGGCATATTGCTAAGAAAAGAAAGACTCAACAAAGAATCAGTGACCCTGAGTAGAGAGGGAGTAACTTTCATAAATGCTTAAGAATTTCTGAAAATATTACTCTTTTTTTAAAAGATTCACGTTATCATAATATTCAGTATCTGGCATCGAAATAGATGCAAACATACCAAAGAAAAAAGCTACTGTAGTCCCCCACTACTCATGTGCAGTGGAAATAAGCTAGATGAGTTCAGTTTGACAGATTTTCAGAAGCACACAGCAGCATACCTGCCTCAAAAGGAATACTTCAATTTTATATTATTTCCCTTGCTTAATTAGAGTAAGTACTCCATAACCCTTTACATGTTAAGGGCATCCTGGGTTAACAGCATTGGCTGCCTGAAGAAGGTTCTCACCTGAACTAAACAAAGAGGGCTCATATTTCAGTCTTGAACAATTTATTCCTCAACAACTGAGTGCATGAGAAGAAAACCTGCTGTTTTTTCTACAGGAAGTTAGAAATTGAATTGCTATGATAGCTCATCTTATTTAGCACTCTGTTTTCACAAATGCATTACAACAGGCAACAACCAACACTGAACAGCATAGTAAGAGACAAAAATTTCCCATCTGCAGCCTGTTCCTAAATATCTAATGGTTACCAAGATAGTAATGAAAAATTTAAAAAATAAATTTCAATGCAATTGCAGCAATATTCTCAGTAGAATAAAGTCCTAAAATCTGAGTACCTTCATTTATACAAAATGCCAGCTATTGCAGGGTCACATTAACTCAAGCATCATGTCATTAAAACTTTGTATAAGTAAAGACTAACAGAAATAATGAGGTAACAATTTTGTAACCATGCAGTTAAAGCCACCCTCCTTCTGTGTATTACAAAATGTACCAAGTACCTGAAAGATTCTTCCACACACTCAAGTGTAAGGATAAACAGCAACACTAAACCTGGATTTTAGAACTGGTCAGAAGCAGCTCAATAGTAGTTTGTAAGTGTAAATAAGTAGGCTTAGTATCATTAGTATTAGCAAGGAATGAGAAATAAACTGAAGGACATACAGAAGTATAAAGCAAAAAAATAAAAAAAGAAAAACCTGGAAGAAAAATTCATCAGAAACTAAGAAACAAAAATAAAATCACACTCTGAAGGCTTATAGCAGAAAGATGAAAGGACTGCAGTCTGGAGAACAAAGATCAGGGTTTGCTGGCTTTCTGCAACTGGAATTCATTTAAGTGAAGTGGAAATACCAACTATCCAAAAACTTACTCATTATAATAATGAATACTTAATTCAATTATTCCTACTAAATTGATTTTGTTTATCTCACTTTTATTTATATGAAGTCTCTTAGATAATGTAAACTTTTTAAGTCAAAGAGGCACCTCTTTAAAACAAAATGGTTTACAATGCAGATGTGTTGATTACTAGTGGCAGCTACATGATCCCAGGAGATAAGAGAAGTGAAAGAACAGAAAATGGATCAGAATATGAACTTTAATCTCCTTGTGACTGTATTTCAATTTAATAAATTGCAACTGATGGGGTGGGTCCTTAAGTTGATGAAGTATGATGAGGGCTTCATCTGTGACTGAATAAAATATCCTAAAGAACATTCAAGATAGAAACATAATTTCAAATGGTAATTCTACATTAGAACCACCTAAAATAACTCACATACTTCTTCCCCATCACTGAAATTTCAGAAAATTTCTCAGGGTGTAAAAGTAAAATCCCAAGTGAAAAAATTAAGAGAGTGAATTAAAAATGTGTACGTTCATTCTAAAAACATTACAAAATATGCAAGAAACTGCATTTAAAATTTGCAGTACAGGAAAATATATGTATATTCCCAGCCCATGATCTGCCTATCATCAGGCTTTCTCATCTCAATATTATAGCTGTCCCTTATCCTGGTATCAAAAGTGCAAAATTAGATGTGAGAATGAAAAGGGAATGATACAAAGTCAGGAATAATGGGAAGACACCAATTAAATTAGAATCTTTACAAGAATTCTTACTGAAATGCATTATCAGAGAAATTGTGAATACTACCTAAAGGCACTGGAATGAAGTTCAAAGATAATAGTTATTCCAATAACTAGTATATCATACTGAAGACACATTTTGAAATGCTGGTCTTTGTTTGTTAGATGGAGTGCACAAAATCTCCAAGGTGCTAACATTTAGTGCACTCAAAATTACCATTAAGTTACAACTAACAAATAGCTCAAATAGTCATAAGCTGTATTAAGAAACTAGAGTAGCCATAGGGTTAACAAATTACTCCCTACTGACAAAACGTACACCTATAAAAGTGAAAAAAATCAGATTAAAAAAATACATATATGCAAGAATTACATACTGTACAGAGGTCTTTGTACTGTAACTTCTGGAACTTGGTGTCTGTGTTTCCTGCACACAGCTCCACATATCCAAGTACTACTTGAAACACAGTGTTGTGAATGGCTTGGGTGAAGTGCATATGTAACTGGTCCATTGCTGTCTGAAAGAAATGGAGTAACATAAAACCAAACAGTAAAATTCAATTTTTCATCTGCCATTATCTTTTAGCCATCATCTTTTAACATACATCTTTTTCAGTACTGAACACTTGTAAGCCTGTCCTCCAATCTCTGTCTCAAAAATACCAAATACAGAACTTGGCATTATTAGAATATGGTCACATAAAAGAGTTCAGGTATTGCAAGCAAAGTCAGTTCCCTCTGCCATCTTCCCTCTTTACCTTTTTTGGTACACTGTCACTAGCAAATATTAATATAATATAGCTAATTATAGAATTTACTCACTCATTTACCCTCCTCCCAATCATTGATAACATGAGTTGAGATTCATGCTCTTTCTCCCTGGAAGAACACTAGAAACACTGCCAAGTAAATAAAAAATATTTCCTTTGCAATCATTAAAATTAAAAGCACAAAGTCTTCATCCACTTGCCAGAGTGAAGAACCCAAAGTACAATTAAACATTACAGAAAGGCATGCACATCATATAAATAAATTTCCTATAAAATTCCTCTTTTTGGTAGAAAAATCAACATCTGTTTTTTTTTAAAAATGACTACCTTTTCCAGGAAAAAGAAATATGTACTAAGGACTAATGATTATGTAACATATTAGTTTTGCCACAATCATGTCTGAGTTTCAGGTCAGGATATTTACCAAGTGTCCCCGTTCTTAATAAATTATACATAACATTATTCCATTTCAGAAACTGAATTTTCTCATTGTTTTCACATATATGTAATCAGCAGATTTGTAAGTGTTCAGTTTAACTACTTCCTATTTGCCATTTTTAGCTACCAACAAGAGCTGAGTACTCAATTACACCACAAGAAATGAAGAAGCAATTCTGCTTAAACCCTATTGAAAAACAGATGATTTCCTATAGTTGGTCTTAACCTGAATTAGCTAAAGAAAACAGAATGATAAATGAAATAAAGAAAAGTACTTGAGACACTGAAGGACCTTGACATTTTGTTTACTGAGAAGAGGTCAATATGGGAGAGATTTGAATAAATATGCAACTAAAATATTTTAGGACAAGTTCAAAATACGTACTTTACTAGTAATAAAAAAAATGCCAAAACCAAGTCACTCTATAGTGGAAAAAAGCAAGCAAAAGCAGGCAGTAACAAATAACACTTTTGTTTTGTCAGAAACTTCATTCCTCTCCAACAAATATCTGCCTTTCTCAACATGCCACGTGCAGTGAATGCATTGTACCTATTTTTCTTCAGTAACTAAGAAACTGAATACAGTGCACTAAAAAAATCTTCTCCCCTGATTTTAAGTTGCAGTCTTTAGGCATTCCAATAGTTCTGCACATTAACAAAGTATGGGAAGATGAATTCACTTCTATCCTATTGCAGAGCAGCACTGGTTTTACAGCCAAGCCAGGAAAAAAAGAACCCAACTTTGCTAGAAAGGTTCTAATTAGAAAAATGCAAAAAAAACAAACAAAACTTTAAAAAAAAACCAAGAAAGGCAATCTTATATCAGATATGCTCCTGAAATCTGGAAAGAGCATTAAAAAAGCCAAGCATAATAAAAAATGATTGGGGTTCTTGTCCTGTCTTGACCAGGGGCATGTGCTTTGACTTGATCTTTAGCAACTAAAGCTTTCTGGGGGAATATCTTCCCTAAGTAAAATAATCCCTGGCACCACCACGTTCAGCCTGTACTATGAGCACTGATCACTGACAAAACATGTCTCCAGGACTTTCCTGTCTCCTTATCCTCCTTACTCCACAGGATCTTGATATTAGCTGCCATACTTCATACCTTCTTAAGTAAACTGAATTTCCTTCTCAGAGAAACAAATCAGTATGAAGTATTGGTTTCTCTGGGTCTGGATTGAAAGCACTTGAGACAGTAGTTCATGTTCAGACTCATATGTTTATTATTTCTTATCAGTAAAACAGTCTCATTACTGTGAGTTCAGCAGCTTTTCATTAGAAGGCACAAAATGGCCAACAAACTCTTGTTACAAGGTCTTCTAATACTAAATTAACCAATTAAGAACTGACACCTAGATTATTTTCCCTTTTTACCCAATAATGATCCCACAGAGCCTGCAATACTTCTCTGCCCAATTACAGTGCCACCCAAACCCAAGAAGAAGAAGGAAAGCATGAAGAAGAAACTCAGGATGACACCCTATACCCTCCATCTTGCTTCCATCCACAACACACTAAAAATCCTCAGACCTAAATTTCTTACCAAGTGACACACTTACACTACTCTCTATAATCTATTTCACACTTTTGTGGATTCTGGTCTATCTTGAATTCTAGGAAACTTTCTCCATGAATGAGGGTCAAAGTCAGTGCTGCCCTGGGGGTCAGGACACCCTAGAGCAGACAGAGAAATATTCTGGATGCCCTGGAATATGAAGGACAATGAAGCCTCAAGACAGTGCACCAAACAGAAGAGAACTCCATCCTATGGGAGAACCTAGGTCTACTCTTATATACACAGAAAGGGCTCCAGGCACACACAGATGTAACTTTCAGGACATGTTCACAGAATGTGTTTGACATGCCATGGGATGTACATTACTGCAAAAATCGATCTCCTCACATGTTCCACTGTTGTCATGATAACAGTACAATATAAAATGGAAATACTCAAGGCAGAGGTAGTGCACAACCCAGAAAAACAGATCTAGCAATAAAAAAATAGTATTCACATCACCAAATAGAATGAATAGTGCAAACAGCAGTATAAACAGAGCTGAAATATGCAACTTTTACTGTTATGATCTGTCCAAAAAACTACAGGTTGCAATAACACAGAGCTTACCTTTAGCAAGTACTGTTAAATTACATGAGCATTATAAAAACCTTTGTATACATATATTTGGCAAGATACATCAGCATTAGTGTGCTGGTTTTGGCTGGCATAGAGTTAATTTTCTTCACAGTAGCTGGTATGGGGCATGGGGCTGTGTTTTTGATTTGTACTGCAAACAGTGTTGATAATTCAGGGATGTTTTAGCCATTGCTGAGCACGGCTTACACAGGGTCAAGTTCTTTCGACCCTTCTCACCCCAACCCTCCGGAGGGGGCTGGGGGTGCACAAGGAGTTGGGAGGAGACACAGCCAGGACAGCTGACCCCAACTGAGCACAGGGATATTCCACAACATGTGGTGTCATGCTTAGTAATAAAAGCTGGGGCAAGAAGAAAGAACAGGGGGATGTTTGGAGTGATGAAGTTTATCTTCACAAGTCACTGTTACACACGATGGAGTCCTGCTGTCCTGGCCATGACTGAACACCTGCCTGCCTCTGACTTTGCCACTGCACCAAGGAGGAAGTGAGCAGCTGTGTGGGGCTTAGCTGCTACCTGGGATTAAACCACAACAACTAGGAAAATAAATTCCCATCACAGGACTCAAAGCTTCATGCTGTGACATGACTATTCTTCGTGAGCTCCTCAGAAGATAAGTACTAACCTGTGTTTTTAACAGTACTAACCTGTGTTTTTCCAAGTAGCCTGTAAGCCTGCTGAACCTTTGTATAATGATTGATATCAAAATTCTTGCATATTTTGGAAAGTGCTACGTCCAATTGTTCCTATAAAAATGGAAGAAAAAATGCATTAAACACTAAAAAAAAAAAACAGGTCAAGTAATACATTACTTAAACAACAAGTGAGGAAGATGTTTATTTAAACAGTGTGATAATTATGGTTGTAAAGTAACCAAGACTGTGTGTGACTGGACTTTTCTGAGGTGCTTAAGTGTCATTTCTCACAGTGTAAGTACTTCAGTGTCAGCCAAAGAGTTCCACCACTCCCAAGAACAAGCAAGAACTCTGCAGTCAAATTAAAGTGATGTTTACTTTGAGAAGGCCAGGAACATCAATATGGCAGAGCTGGGATTTCTAAGCTGGTCTACTTCCACCCCTAAGAAAAACCAGATCTGGGGATTTCAGCTCACTCAATTCCATTAGAGACTTCTTAACCCTCTGACTGCATCTCTTAAATGGAACTAACACTGCCTGAATTTAAAGTTCATTGACAAGACAGCCATTTATAGAATACTATATCAGCACAATCAGCACCTGAGAGAATCAAAAAAGAAAGGAGACACACAAATACAGGTTCTGGCAGCAGAGCTGTGTCTGAGCATACTGAACAGCTCTGCAGAAAATGAAGTTCATCTACTAAGTGAAAAAAAAGCTTGAATAGGATCACGTATTTTATGACTAATAAAGCTTTCAAGAATTTGACTACATAGCTTAGTAACATAATTCTCATGTAGACACTGCAATATATTCAGATACACAACCTAATCCTAGTTTTTTTCAACCAACAATAAATAAAAACAGAATGAATCAATAACATAAACATACACAATTAAAAAATATTTTCTCTCCTTGCTAAATATTAAAACCATTTCAATTCTTATTATTTAATGATCTTGCAATACAGTCTTGCTCTTAAAAATAGAAACCACAGTAGATGGGTGTTCAGCCTGTTATTAACCCATTGGAAAATTTTCATGAATTACATCATTAGCCACAAAATATTTTTGGTGCTAATCCTAGAGATTTGGTGGTGGTTGTTCATTTTACCTTCTTCCCTAAGCTAAATGGCAAAAGGACAAGTAACCTAATGATTCAGAACTTCTCTAAAACATTACTCAGCAATTTGATTTTCAGACATATATAGGTTATTTTAAAAATTCTTTCTCTTGTTTCTTGCAGAACACTTGTACAAAGAAAAAACTGAGATATCAAACTGCTCATGAACAAAGCTATTAAACAGAGAACATTATTTTTTTTCTGTTACATTTTTCAATAGTTCCTTTCACTAAAGCCATCTTGCATTTGCAAAAACCATCATTATATGTAAATTAGTATAGAAGTAAGATCTATATTAAAAACTAAATTAAAAAATATATTTAAAAAAGGAAAAAGGAATGCACTTAAGTAGAGGCACTCAACTATTGAAAAGACTCGTTATGGAATTCCTAACTAGCAGAATATTATTGTATATTAATTAGACCATGTATTTTTCAGCAATACTCCATGGACCCCAGGATGACTTCATGTTTCATGACCCCATGATGTTTCTTCCATATGCACAGGCATAACTCCAGTAAAAAGTAAGATACTTTCATGGGGAGGAAGTAAGATATTTTTATAAATTCACAAGTAATAAATAAAAATCTTGAATGTGATTATTTAGTTAGCTGTGAATTGCTTTCACCAACCAATATGGCACATTTTATCATATTTTGATAAGATCAGAATTTGCTCTTCAAAGCTGTTACTGGAAGGAAGTAAAAATGCATTTTTCCTTTTAAGGAACATCAGTATTTGCTCACGAGGGAAAAAAGAGTGCTCACTCTCACACAGCCTGTGTTGGAGTGGTAAGAAAACAGTCATTCCACCAGCTTTTGTGAACCAGACATGCTCTGAATAAAGCACTGTCAGAGAAAGACTAAAGGAACAAAAAAAAGCTTTGCATAAAAGCTGAAGTACAAAGACACAACTGAAGGAAATTGACAAAATTTTAATTTTACGGTGAATTAAATAACAAGGTATGATAAAACAGGTGCTAGTCTGACTTTCTGAAGAGCATGTGACAACGGGTGTAGACAGCTGCTCAAATAGCTGATTCAGGTTCCTGCTAAACATTACATGTGTATGCATCACATACACATTATACATACCTACATTGCTAGACTTCCTACAAAAAGCTTGCCAAGTTCCAGCTCAAAATTACCTAGTAGTGGAGTTCAAAGCATTCCCTTTTTCTTCCACCAGTTTCTGGGAAGACACTTAACATTTTATATTCCTTTGCTTTTGTGATACTATCTACCAACTTAAACCAACCTTAGTCTCATCCTTCACAGCTATTCAAATCTTATTTCCAGCAGCTTAGCACAGTCCTATCCAGCAGTTTCCAGTTTGCTAACCTCTAAAATTTCCTGTGAAACTGATCTCTTGTACAGCTTATCCAAACCTACTGGCTTGCTATTAATTTACTTTTCACAACTGTTTAGAAGTTCAATACTTCAAATGTTATGTACTTCTTTCATTTGACTGCTCTACCACTTACAGTGAGCACAACTAGTGGACTGGGCCACAACATATTGTAGAGCATTTAGATTGATTACAGCACTAAAGTCTACATGAAAAGCAGTGGCTACAGCATCCAAAGAGAGTATTTGAAAGAAATGCACACATTCTATAATTGCCAACAACATTTAACTAGAAAGCTCTAGTGCTTAGAGATTAAATAGTATCACACACTTAGAGGTCAAATATTAGCATATACTGAACATCAGTATAATAATTCTTACCTCTATTTGTTCCAAGGTGTCTTGCAGTTTTGAATTTAACTCACTATTGATGAAGGAAAAAAATGTTTAGAATAAAATTACTGATTATATAAACATTTCAGACCATTTCTTACTTCCAAAAACCCTATTGCTGAGTCACAACATAGCAATTCATCATAACCATTAAGCTGCTGTTGCTGTGTCAGACTAGCACCATCACACCACTGCTATGTTGAAAGGCAGATTATTCTAGGCTTATAATGCAACAGTTATATAACAGTTAAGAGGGTCTAGACAAGACTCCATCCTGCTAGGATTTAACCAAAAATTCAAAGACATTCCCAACCCCCAAGAAACTGGATTTAAGTGTTTTGGTTTGGCACTGTGATCTACACCAGAACATACCCAGAAGGGTCAGGCTGTCAAATCTTTCCAAACTAGAGTAATTTTTATTTGTTACTCAGGAACCCCTTACAGAAACGCTATCAGAAAAAGAGAATTTAAGCTTCTTCAGAAAAAAATGTAAAATTTGGTATAAAAAAAATAACAAAAACAGCTACCATAAGAGAAACTATTTAGGACAAAGAAAGACACCACTGCACCTTTGCAACAACCAGCTTTAAAAATCTCAGAAAATATCTTTAAAAATCTTTATATTTAAAGATATCTTTAAAATATCTTTAAATATCTTTAAAAATCTCTTAAAAATCTCAGCAGCAATAAAAAAAAGAACAAAAAGACTACTATGTTTTTGTTTGGAAGGGTCAAAGCAACAAAGAAATAGGCAGGATACTCTTCCTTGCATAGAAATCACAGTTTTCATTAAATAATCACCATATCTCATTTTAGACAACTTCCCTCTGTGCTGTGAATCTTCTCCTTAGGGGCCTACATTAATTATCAAAAGACAGATTCTAGCATCTCTGCTTAGTTCTCTAAATTTAAATGATACACCCATCACCCTCCTTTTTTGTTTCCATTGGATAAATTTGGTACAACACCCTGCAAAAAAAAGTTTAAATAGAAAAAAAAGGCATCAAAAACAACTGCCATTAAACACTCAAGAGAGTAGCCAGTGTTTCTTTATTCTTTCTCTTATGGAGGTCTTTATTATGGACCTCCATAATAATCTGATGTTACTACATCTCCTGCTGGAATTTATGAGTATTTCCTGCTATTTCTTTTTTTTTTTTAAAGCAATGGAAACATTGAGTCTTTCTAAGTTAGAAACTGCAGATATTTGTATTAGTTTAGGTTCTGAAAGCAATTTCTTCATGTCAGCATGAAACTCTGCACTTGCTAATTTCATTAGTTATCCTGCAGAAGCCATCTTGCTACAGGCAAATTAATTCCAGAATAGAAACTTCTCATTAAAAACTCAGCTCAGGTATCTCTAGGCGGGAGGTTGTAGCACAGTTATAATTCACTTTAAGTTACAAAACAATTATATAGTCTAAACGTTCATTATGTGCTCTTATTACTGAAGATTGGTTAGTCATGGTAGAGAGAGGTGGAAAAATACAAAGGATATTTAAGCTTTTACAACTGCCTCAATTTTACTTTTCTCAGCTGAAAATTGCTCTTCAATTTAACTTTCTTTAGAGAATGAGAATCAACGATCACAAATAAAATCATACAAAAGCAGACATCTGCACAATGTCACCCTACCTTATACAACTGTAGTGTTTGAAAGTGCTGGCAGCTTTCTGGCATTCCAAGCATAGTTGAATAGCTCCTGGATAATCCTCCTCCTTAGGAAAAAATACAATTGAAAGCTCATCTGAAGTAACAGTGCAATACCCATTTTTCTTGCATGCTTATGTATAAACATTAGGAATAAATATTTTGCCTCTCCTGTCTCTACAGTAAAGTTAAAGAGTGAGGGTCTACTGTGGCACTTAATGTGCAGGTAATTTAGAATTAGCAACATGTGAAAGCACTAGGTATTACATTACCTCATGCAAACAACTTCCTGTATTGTTTCCTTATCCATACATAAAAAATACATCAAAAAGTTTTTTATTACAGAACAACTAGCAGCTTCCCAGTAATCTATTCATGAGCATGGAAAGAGTTTAATTCAGGCACAGGCAGGCTATTCCCATAGTTTATGAAATATAAAGGAGACAAGGAAGACACTCCCAACATTATGCCCAAATAAACACTATTTAAATTGACACATCCAGCTCATGAGAAATTAGCTTCAACACAACTGACTCACAGAAGGCCTCAGGAAACAAAGAACACACTATGGATGCCTTGTCCTAATATTTAAGAAGAATATCCAATAAGTAGACAGCTCAATCAGGAAGTATTATGAGGATGACAGGACAAAACAAAAACATACACACAAAAATGTAAAACCCAAGGATCCTACCAACAAGACATGGGCATTGCCTTGGATACACCTACTGTTTCGGTATTCTATTAGACAGGAGACCAGAAGGATTCTTGGAAGAAGAGAAACTCTCTTGAATAGCTAAGAGCTTCTGGTTTATGTCATAATTACATCTGTTATATTACATGCTTTAGAGAGCTCAAATGCAAAGCTGTTACTGGAATTTCAGTCATTGACTGAAGAGCAAAAACGCAAGGGTAATTTATATTCAGCTATTATCATAGAGGAGGTTCTGAAATGAAATTGGTTTTAACAGCAATATTCTAATGCAGATCCAATTCAACTAAAAAACACAAAAAACCCCAAATACATAATCCATTAGACGAAAACAGAACAGCACACTGGTCTAAAGAGCATTATTAGCTCTTTATATCTCTCTCCACTGGAAACCTCGTACTTGTTCCAGTAAGTCTAACAGAGCTCAAATCAGAAAGCCTGCTTGCATAAGATATATTACTAATACATTCCAGATGCAGCTCAGCCCTGTAAGCTACCATAAATTCATTCCAGGTCTTTTTTTAATTGGGAACCCTTTCAAAATTCTCTTCTCTGAGTGGCTACTAATAGCTCTCATGCATATTCCAACTTACTAACTTCTAGGAGTACAGAAAATAAATGGGCCAGTAGCTGGGATAACTTATTGGGAGCAGACACTGAGCACAGCTCTACAACTGCACAATGCCAAAACAGCAGTTCCAGCCCTTAAAAATCACTGACCAATTATGGTAATCAGACATTAGGGTCTGTGTGTGGATGCAACAACTACACCTCCTCAGGACAATTCCTGCCAGTGGGCAGTGAAGAGTTAATTTCCTGGGTAGCAAAACACAGCACAGAAATTAAAAGCTAATCATTGTACAGGGCTTACTGAGCAGAAAGCATTTATGCCACCTGAAAACGAGTGCAGTTTTGCTTGGTAAAGAGCAAGAAAGTTTGCTGATACAAGATGACTTACTCAAGATAGAATTAAATTCATAGAATCTTGAAAGCTGAAACTATTAAGACTCAATTTCCAAATTTAATAACTGGAGACTGCCATCATGACATTCCATCCAGTATTAGCTGTAAATATTTGGCAAAATTGCAAGTTGAAATTGTTACACTACAAGTACTATAGCTGTCAATAAAATCCTGAGGCTTTCTTTCATACAATTCATCACTTTAAGACAAGATCCTATTTTGCTCTGTGCAGTATCTACTGCATTTTTAGCCAGTATACATAACAGCATCTGAATTTTCAGTGTCATGCAACATGAATTTTCATGCTGCAATCTTTTCTACAATTGAATTAAAAAGCCAATGCAATTAATAAGGACAAAAGCCTACTACATTTACAAATTAAATACTAAGCAGGGAGCCCATCCATAAATTTGTGTAGTAATATATCAATAGAAATTCTTTACCCAGACCCAGATTATCAACAATCAGCTAAATCTCACATTGTTTTTTGTTTTTCCCCAAATATCAGGATAAAGAAAATAGGTATAAGTTGAGAGCAGGGCTAAGTGAAGACCCCACAACATTTTTACTGAACTAACTCAAGCTTCAGTGCCCAGATGTAAAGGCAGGAATGAGTTTTTGATAGAAAATACTCTCCCCTGGCAGCAGGGCTATCTAATTTGATATGAAGCTTTTCTCAATTTAAAAGAAGAACAAAAATATAATTTCATCCCATGCACACACCCTGTTTGCAAGACAAAAATTAGGATGACTGACAAATGTAGGCTTAGAACAGCTTCAAATTTTACCAGTATGGTAGGGACCCACCTCCAACATCTCACTCAAACGCACATCAGTTCTTTGCTAAAAAAAAAAACCAAAAAAATCCAGTCATTACTACGCAGAAATTAAGAAACATATTTGTCACTGAACAAAAACAACTGTACATACCAGTGTTTTTATTGTTCTCAGAGATTTTAGCAGTCCAATAAGCAGCTGTCGTTTCCTCTGATTTGCAAGGAGCCCCAAACTAGTTTGTGTGAACCCTTCCTTTGCTATATTCAGGTGTCTGCAAGGTAAAAATTAACATAATCTTCAACAATTAACAAAATAAAACTTACTTCTAATCAATTCTAACAAGTTCAACAAAATACATGGTAGAAAATAGGATTATCAGCATTGTTAGGGGAACTCAGAAAATGAGATTGTACCAAGAGACAGCTAAGAAGGTACATCCTCCCTTCTGCACTTGTCTGTGGATCAGAGGTATATCTCCAAAGCTTTCTGTTTCAAAGAGAATTACTAATTGCAAAAGTGAGAGCTGCAAGAGTTTGCAACTGTTTCACTATCTCTAACTATTACTGCTAATAGCATTGAGCACATGAACAGGAAATATCATCAGCAAGCAAACTTCCTGGGTTTACAGATTTCCTGTAAACATTCCCCACTTTCAATCTCTGCAGTTCCTTAAGCAAATACCTTCTTCCATTTGTGCAAATAACTGCTGCCAGCTGAAGGCCACTCTGCAATGATGTAACACGTTCAAGCTCCTACAGAGAGACAACAGGTTAAAGAAATATACAAATTAAACAAATATACAAGTTACACGCCAGTGAAGACTACTGATTAATACATTCCTTTTGAGATGTTATAATGACTTTGTGGAGTTACATCATATATTATTTGTTTCATCATTTTATATACACGAAGTACTGCAATGCAACATTAACATAAACTATATTTTGCAATACAATTCTCTTTTGAAGATAAAATAGTTGAAATCTGTTTTCATGGCAGTGAGACCCTCTACATTTATATATTGCACATTTAGCCTCAGAATTTCTATATCATTAATGCATACAACAGAATGATCAAAGCTTCAGGGATAGAAGCACAGGGCTTAATTTGCACTAATATGCCAGAGAGCAGCAAAACAAAAAATACAAATTATGTTTCACACAGCATTTTCTTGCTTAGAAGCACTTGTGTTCTACCAATTTAATAGATGTCACATCATAATGAATGTTAATTGTATCCTGTTGACTTTCAGCTGAAAACTCTTCAGCAGAGGTGACCTGAATTTAGCTTGATTTTGACTGAGTGAAGTGCCTAGAAATCTCAACTCCTTGAAAAAAATAAATGTTTTAATATAATGATTAGGATTGCTTTTGTGAAAAAAACAGCTCTGCAGAAAAGTGCATTCTTTCCTCAGGCTACAGAAAAAGTTTTGTTTGTTTGTTTGAGGGTTTTTTGTTCTTTTGGGGTTGTTTTTTTTTTTTGGTGGGGGAGGTTTTTCTTATTTTTTAATTCTGCTCATCATTTCAAAATGTATCAAGTGCTTTCCATGAAAAGGGAGATTTTCACTTTGAAAACTCATCTAACTCTAATAATATGACAAGCAAAAATTAGTTCAAAGTTCAGTTCAATTTTAGATCAGCTCCAAACTACTAAGCTGCATCTTCCACCACAGCCTCCTCCTTTATGTTACCAGTGTTGCTTTTTTATAAATGACAGCCTAGTTGCTGATATGCAAAATATCTTAAGAAACCAAACTCGAAGATTACTTTCCTCAATACCTACCTCTACTTCTCTCTAAAAACATACTGTGCAAATACCAGAGCTATTCAAAAAGCCATTGTTCCCTTGTTCAAGAGGAAACACATACAATAAGGAGCTACTCCACTCCAGTCCTGCTTCTTGCAAAGACTCTGTAAAATCTTTCCTTTGAACACAACTGGATGGAGAGGAATGGGGAGAGAGAGCAGCCTAAATATTGCCAAAGAGGGAGTCTTCTGCCCACCAATGAGGGCTGAATACAATTTTTCTCTTCTCAGAAACAGTCTTTTACCCACTGGTTGCTCCTGAAGCATGTCTTTCTTCCAAGAGCAGAAAACTGTAAATTCCTTACCCTGTGTCTATGCCATGTGTCTTGTGGCCACAGGAGTGCCTGTCAGACCAGAACTTCACACTAGACATGGGCTTCAGACCATGATACCCTTAAACTACACCTAGCACAGTGAAAATGTGTCCAGGACATGTGTTCAACTGCATTTGTGGTTCTTGTAATGAATTGTTACTGTAGTTTAGCACTGAACTGGAGCTGCCATTACAAGTTCACACAGCACAGCAGGACGTTCATTTCATGTATCAGTGGGAAAGTGAGACCCATAATGCCCACCAGAAATCTCCAATAAGTCTACTGACAAGAATAACTCTGTGACCATAAGTAACACTGAAGGATTATCGACTTAATCAGGCAGAAAAGCATTTAAGGAAAGTTTTTTAAAGATTTTTACTGGCACAATAGATTTTTAACTGTCCTTTTGGAATATCTGAAAGCACTTCTAGGTATTAAACAAGTTCACTTCACTAAGATGTCTGCAAAAGGAACATTAGCATTACACAGCAAAATTCAAGAACATTTGCTGCAGTTCCATTATGCAGTGAGAGGTTTTCAAAGTGAAGCTGTTGGATTCAGGAAAAGCAGTACTCACTCAAAACTATCAATTTCAAACCCACGTAACAGTGAAATAATATCAGAATACATTTATACCACACAATCACCCTTTCTCCCCCTTCTACACTATCTTGTGAAGACTCAACCAGTAGCACTTACCAGCTTCCTTCTGCAATAGCCTCCCACCTCATCACCCCTTCAACTAAAACTGAAACAACTTGACTGTCACAGCCTTTTTCTTCCACCTGCTATTGCAGGAGATGACGCAAGCAATGGTCATTTCTCCCCCCCACATTGTTCTTAAAACAGCAGCACTCCTTTCCCCAGGCAATGATGGCAGAACACAGATGGCAACTTCACTGAGGCTGGATGCACTGGCCATAAGAACAAGAGAACAAAAAGGATGTTGTGTCCTCTGGATAAGAGGAAAATGATTGCAGCTCCATGACATCTACCACAGGTTAACAGCCAGGAAGCCATCTTTGCTTTTCCATATTCTCTCCAGCTTCTTGCCCAAAGAATTGCCATAATCACCAGTACAGCAATGGTGATGTAAGGTGCTGTACACAAACAGAAGTATTCACCACAGGATCATTCTCAGGCTAACTTAATAAAAATCACCATTTTCACTTTGCAGAATTGTTTGGACATTACTCCCAGGCACATGGTGAGACTTTTGGGGATGGTTCTCTGCAGGGACAGGAGTTGAACTTGATGATCCTAGTGGGTCCCTTCCAACACAACATATTGTGACTCTGTGATTCTCAAAACTGCCTGAGATTAGTGGCAGATAAGTGATCTTAACAAAGATCACTACTGCTTTCTCTTATGGAATAAGATGTGACACCACTCCTAAACAAGGGCAATAAAGCAGCCCTGCTCCAAGTTCATGACAGGTATTACCAAGCCTGTGAATTCCTGAATTCTGAATTCTTCAGAAGGTCTTGTAAAATGATCATATTACAAAACCTTTATCATCTTAAGGACTTTCAACTCAATACACCGTTGGCTTTCACTACAGAGACAGAGCTTTAGCATACAAAAATAGCTGGTTACCAACCAGGCACTAGCACCCCTACTACAAATCACTGTAACAACACAACTGCAGCATTATAGCAGCACAAAATTGAGCAGTTTATTCTTGAAAACTGTTAGTTGTCTTACCTCAACATATGCAGGCTGTTTTTCAAGGATTAAATCTGCAACTTTCTTAGATACCTGAAAAAGAAGAACACTCCATGTGACACATAGCAAAATCAATTAAGTAGACCATGCCCATACTAAAATTCGACAAGCTTATGATTCTCTACCATTAAGTTCCGCATTTTTCAAATTTATTCATAAATACTCCACAACAACATATAAAAAATTGTAAAAATTATGATCAGCTTTCCTTAGAACCAAGATAAGAGAAATATTCACAAGTCCATCTAGCAACTAGTGGGCATTTTTAGACTACTCACTTAACTCTGCTTGTTAAGGAACAAGCTAGAAAAGCAAACAGAAATAATTTGGGGCACTGCAAGTGTTTACATTTTGCTCATGCTATTGCTAGAGTTCAAATTTAAGTCAATGATATAGCACAGTGTGCTGGCTTGGGCTGAGGTACTCAATTTTCTCCAAAGTACCTGGCATGGGGCTGTTCTGGACTTGGGCTGAAACCAGTTTTGGTAACCCAGAGGTGTTTCAGTTGAGCAGTGCCTGCAGAGAATCAAGGCCTTTTCTACTCCTCGAACCACCTCACCAGCAAGCGGGCTGGGGGTGCACAAACCTTTGAGAGGGGACAAAGCTGAGGCAGCTGACCCCAACTGACCCATGGGATATCCTAAATGTACAGTGTCATGATCAGCATATACAGTTTGGGGAAAAGAAAGAAGGGAAGGCTGCTCAGAGTGATGGCATTTGTCTTCACAAATAAATGCCACACATGATAGAGCCCTGCTTTCCTGGAGAAGGCTGAATAGCTGCCTGCCCATGAAAAGCAATAAATGAATTCCCTGTTTTGCTTCACTTGCTTTTGCTTTACCTATTTTTTAGCTATTTCTTCTGCATTATCTACCTTTATCTCAACCCCTGAGCTTTTTCACTTTTACTCCTCCCATTCTCCCCCCTGGAGACGTCAGTGAGAGGCTGTGTGATACTTCATTGCCATCTAGAGTTAAACCACAACACATTTAACATAAGGACACCTACCGTTGAGACTGATACTGCATTAAAGTAAAACTATGTCAAAATGAATATGCATCCTCTACATATTATCCCCTTCCTTTAGAACACAGAATATGTATATTTTAAAATTTTCTCAATTGATCTGAGTATAATTCTAAGTAGAACGCTCCTGAGAACTGCTGTCTGCATTGAATTTAAAAACCAGGCATTGCTACCTTAATCAATCTCTTGTCCACAAACACTTCAAAAGAAATCCAACAGCAACAGTCTTATAAATGCCAGCTTTAGAATAGTGTCTTTAGTTTTGGTTTTCATCAGGGACTAAAAATATTTAAAGAAATGGTTTCATACATGACAAAGAAAATATTGGTATTGCTCTATATTCTTTTGGGAGAATAATGCTCCCAGAAATGGAAATAAAATAAAGCTGGTGATGACAGTCAGTACACAATGCACTACTGGTAAAGAGAAATAAAGATTTTTGTAAACTTGACTGCTTGACTGCTATGTTTGCCTAAACATAGCACAGATTTGAGCTCTTCAATCAACACTCCTGCAGCAATCTTATATTGGCTCCACGAGCTCAATTCCCATCCTCTGGAACAGCACTTGCACATAAATGGTCTTTGAAGTATTCCAATGTCATCAGGGGGCAATGGACAAGGGCATATACACAGCTATGCTTTCCTCCTTCCATATCAAAAGCAGGCCAGAACCACAGAGCAATTTTAAAACTGTTCAGTTGTTCCTAAGCTTTTAGCTGTTCCATAACTAATAACTCCTTCCTCTGCAGGACAGCAGAAGAACCACTCCAGAGCGAAGTGGGGTCAGGACAGGATAATATCAAGCTGAATGCTACACAAGCCTACATGACCCTGGGGCTCTTAAGAAATTTTGTTCACTCCACAGTCTATGCACTGTGAAATTTTCACCTTCTTTTTCCAACATATTCTTCATACTAGTCCTGTACTTGTAAAAAAACTTTAGAACATGGATATACCTGCTAGTTATTCAATGCCCTAGTACTGTTAAGCAGCACACAGGAATAAAAGATACATTTCTTTTCAGTTTTTACACCTTTTGTTTTGCAAGTCCTCAGTTACCCTTGGCTAATAACGATCTCAACATTGACAGGCACCTGCCACAGGCACTTTTTTTTCTTTTCCAGTACTTAGTGGTACTAATTTTCTTTCTGAGGTTCCAAACTCTCAGATACTTTTTCAGATGAGCAATACTATCCCCAGTTACTTCATTTATTTCCAAACTGTCACACCCCTTTTGGCATCTTCCATACAATTGTGCTGTGCTAAGTCTTGGAATCCTGAACTGCAGCTGCTAGCACTGAATGTGACCATGGTTATCAATGCCTGCCAACAACATTTGCTGAAGGGACAAACAATTTTCTCTTTCTTAATCAGTAAAAAAATATTTCATCTCCTGAAGAAAAAACAACATAGCTAAGGATATTAGACTGCTAATTAAAATGAAGTCTAGCAGACATACAACTAAAACGCCCTTCTAATTCAAACTGCCTGTAACAAGACAATTACAAATTAAAGTTATTATGATACACACATTAGAAAATGTTTGAGCAAGTTGGGATCCTTTCAGTGGAATGGAAAACTATTGAGAAAACTCCAGAAGTCTATAGTGACCCTAAAAACAACAGGATGACCAAGATCAGCTGCGCAAAATCAGTAAGTCAGTGAAAATCAGACCTCTAGTGCCTGTAATTCACACTCATATAAGTGCTTTGCATTAGAGAAATTCAGAATTTGGTATTATCTCCAAACTATTATTAAAAATTTCTCTGCCAGCTCTAGGTACAGACATTGAAGTGAAAAAGGCAGTATTTAGTTTTTTGCAAAAGCAGAGCCATTGTGTAATATGTCAACAGGCTTCTTGAATCCTCTATCTAATAATCTGTTCACCATTAAAATATTTTTAGGACTGAACTAACAACATACAACATTCTACAGTTTTGTCTTCCATGAAACCCACCAACGTGTTTTATGGCAGGTAGGTCTAAATGACCTATCACAAGATAAATGGATAACAACTGAGACACAAGAAGCAAACCTGCAACAGTCTCTCACACTCTACCTGAAAATATGACATAAGGACATGAAACACAATATATAAGACATTTTAGCACTTTGGCACATGCTTAAGGAGGAAATTCCTTCCTATATCAGAAAAACATTTTGACGAAATAAAGAAAAAAACAAGCAAGGACCAATCCTGACTGGGGGAAGTTGGTGAGGAAAGAACTGGGCACATGTTTCTTGTCAAAGGTTTTGGCCTTGAGATTTTTTACCTGTTTATATTCTAAAAGCCACATCTGGCCATATTTACTGGAAGCCTTGTGCTCAGTTCTCTCCCCTATTATTCATTAGCTGCATGTACTTTCTGGTTCAAATGTTTTGGCAGCAGCCACGCCCTGAAATTACTCCCTCATCTGCAGCCAGTTCCCATCCTGCAAGCAAGAAATGGCCAAGACATTGATAACACGTATCAGGATTAGCAGCATATCTCACTGAAGTTGTCTCAGTCTTGAGAGCACTTCCTTGCAAAACAATGTCGCCATCAGATGTCCTCTTAAAATTAAAAAAAAACACCACCACCACACAAACAAACACACCAAAAAAATTACTACTTCTCACTCACTTCCAACTTCTTTCCTTATAAATCTTGGTGAGAAATATGGAATATTCATTTCCTCAAGTCCTCACTAATCTTTCACAAAACTTCATAGGTGTATTATGGGGAAAGCAGCTTAAGGCTTCTGCCTTTGCTTTATGTATTGTTAACAAAGCAAGATTCTCCTATATATTTCATTTATTTGAAGACATGAATTAGGATTACTACCTCTATTTTACTTGCAGATATTCTCCAAATGCCACCATGTTATACACCTCAAAAGGGTAATGGAACAACAACTAATACATTAATAGAAAATTTTAAAGTCTGCAACATAACAAGCACCTTTCAAATGCTGCAACTCCAATTTTGCCTCATACTTACTACTCATTAAATTTCATTTGGTTTATTACATAATAACTCTCTATCAGTGTTCACTAAATACTTTTGTGAACAATTAATATATTGGCAAATGAAAAGTAAGACAAAATAGCATCTTCAAGGAGAGAGTTTTTAAAACATTTTAAGTCTTACATTGCTAGAAATCCCTCAAAGAGATACTACTCCACTATTCAGCACTGTGTTGAACATTACAAGATAAACATTCAAAAAGTCACGTTTCTAAAGAAATAGTTAGCACATTTGCTCTTTGTTACAATACTTAACACTAAGATTTACTTCCATGATTTCATATGATTATATGATTTAGTGATGATTTTCCACTATAAAGGCACACAACATGATGTTAAAAGAAATACTTAGTATCTAATGTGTTAAGAAATCAATTTTTTTCAGTTACACTTCTTGCTAGACTTACAGACAAGACAACAAATTGTGTAATGGTACAGAGGAAAAAACTTTACTTACAGCAGCTTGCTGTTGTTTTAGTTTGTCTCTGTACTCTTCCAGTTCTTGAAGACTAAGTACTGGAGGAAGCCTCTGCATTTAAATAATAAATTAAAATCAGTAAGAAATTAAAGGTTTTTAACTCACACACAACATTAGCTAGGCAATCAGTTTCATTAAAGAAATATTCTTGTGGCTTCTGTAATCTAATTTGCAGAATTAATCCATTGTTTCAAATGATGGACACTGAAATCAATTAGTGTTAAAATATGCAACATATGATCATAATTGCCTCATGTAGTATTATAATTACCTCAAAGTTACTTCACATTACGTCATATATGTATACACACAACCACCCAATCACAGAAAATGTCTCTCTCAGTTTGGTAAAAAAATACACAAAATATAGAACAGATTTGTTTCCTCAGCTATCTTGACTTTTTCACTTCAGTTTAAATTACAAAATGCCTGTAAGCATATTCTACTACATTAAAAGAAGAGACTTTATATTTATATATACATGCACCAATACTCTACGCTAGAAGCTGCACACAACTGCAAGATAACTTAGGGGAGTTCAGTGTTGTATTCATACAAGATCTAAGAAACAAAAAAAGCTCATTGAAATAAGCATACTTTTGGTCTTCATTTTTTGTTATGTTACCATTTTTTCTTTCAAGATGACAGCTTACCTCTAACTCATACTTCACAATATCAAAGGAGTCATTGGAAAAATAAACTTCTTCAATGCTGTTAATTATTTCCTGTTGTGCCTGAGGATCAGGTGGTTCTTCATGTAGTTCTCTGAGCTCCTCCTGCACGAAACAAAACAGAATTTCCATCATGTAATAACACATCCTAGGAAGAACGACTTTTTAACAAAACTAACATCTTCCAAAAGCAACTTCTAACATTAACACAAGAAGCAATGGCAAAATACAGAAAGTACAGTACACTGTGGCTTGCATTTCCCATTAGGGAGAGTAAGACATTTAAAACTTCTCAAAAAAGAGTGTAGGCTTCAACGTTGCAGCCACTTAAACGCTTCTTCATTGATTTATGGCACCAACTGCATGTTGAGTCCAGTTTTTTCCTCCTCACCTTTAGAAATTCTCATAATAAACTAAAAATAAACTGGCAAACTATTTCTCCAGAAGGAGAAAAAAAAAATTGCACAAAACCAAAACAAATAAAACCTGAATTATTTAAAACAGAAGAACCCTCTTTGTAAATGACAGGTAGACAGTGTCATTGCAAATGCATAACTTTTCAGTTCAGCCCACACATTCACTGAAATAAAAGATACGCCATTAAACACTTGATTTCTACAGGTAAAACCAGAACAGATCTGCCTTCTTTGCACAAGATTAACAGCTCTGAGATTTTAGCACAGTGGTCTAAGCAGAGATGTGCTGTCAGCCTTCTGAAAGCCAATATTGCAGAGATAAGCATCCCCCTCCTTGCTGTCACGATCTCCTCTGGAAGGCCTCCCCAACAACCCAGATGCTTCCAGTGGATGAAACAAAGCAAGGACTCAGCCTGACCCTCCTCTTCCTCTGCTGCACTGGACATGGCAACTAACACTGGCCCTCTCCTGGATGTCGTTCACACAAAAAGAATGAAAAATCCTTTATCAGAGACTCAAAAGGGAGAAGTGCTAGAATATTCTTCCATCAAAAGTAAAGATAATATGGATAAAATTGCTTGATAATGAAACTAAACTCTGGTGAAGCAATGTAACAGACTGAAGAGTCCCATAATGGCCCTGAGCCTCCCAGCAATGCTGAGCTGTTCCTGTGGGGCAAGGTGCTGGTACTTTCATCACAAAGAGTTCAAAGGTTTATTTCACCAGTGTGGCATCTAATTTTAGATTAAATGACTGAACAGCCATTCATTTGCTTATTTTGCACGTCAGCTGAGATAAGGTCAATGTGCAGACGTTCTGAGGCAAAGTGACCCTTACAGCACACAGCAAGGCGCTGCTTCTCTACGCACCAAGAGGCGGCCAAGGGCTCACAAGTGGCCGGTTTGGAAGAGCATCAGAGAACAGCTGCTCCTCTGAAATACTTCTCACAAGAAAAAAAAGAGTGGGAAAGGAAGGGAAGAGAAGGGAAAATGAAAGAAAAATGAAAGAAAAATGAAGTGAAGGGGAAAAGAAGGGGAAAGGAAGGGGAAAGGAAGGCGAAAGGAAGGCGAAAGGAAGGCGAAAGTGGGGAAATAAAATGTAATGACAGAGATAACCGGGTTCCAAGCGTATCTGGCTTCCCCGAGCGGCCGCGTGCGAGGCCGAGGGAGGCCCCAGCTGCTGCCGCCCGCGGTGCTCGGGCGCCCCCGTCGGGCCGCGGGCCAGACCGCAGCCGGGAGGCTCCGAGCCGTGATGGGGCCGCGGGGAACGGGAGAAAAAACACCGAGGAGGCAGCGGGGAACCGGAGAAAAGCTCTCCAGCAGCCACCTTCTCCCGCCCAGGCGCCTCCGATCTCCCCCTGAAACGCTTGATGCAGTCACTGCCACCAAAGCAGGTGCACGCAGCAAACCACAGCCAGCCAACAAAGGACATGGACTGCACCGACACACGGAGAGAAACAAGGAAATAATATCGTTATATAGCTGTAATGGTAGCTCCATAATGTACACCTCACTGTAAATCAGTTTCGCATCTTACAGTACATTGAGTTTTAGTTATATGAAACTAAAATTAAAAATTATCCAAGACAGGCAACGGGGTCCACTTGTGAAAAGTACATATTATATGGCTCTACCCAGATATTTACTCTATGTATTTTGTTGTATTAATTAGTAGTGCCGTATTAATATTTTAATAATATGATAAATGTAGTCTTGTAGTTAAAATGTAACTTTTGTAGTTAAAATAAGAACTACGTAAGTGGGATATTTTTTTAAGAAAGGAATGAGGTACTCGCACCAGATAGCAGCCACAGGACACCTAAATCTCTCAGAGAAAAGGAATTTATTGTTCTCTTATCAGAAGAAATTGACTTCCTCCTGCCTGGCTAAGGATCGAAGGCGCCTTAGGATTAGGAGGAAGAAGCTGACGATGACCAGACCGAATCCTTTTTTGAATGGAATTTATGCATCATGTATGAGATTATGAATATTCAACAGGCTATTAGTTTTAAGGGTTAATCCTTTGTTAACGTGTCCTTTTTCGGGCTTATGCTGCCCAGACAAAGGTACCCGGATGTCTGTAATTCTTTGTTTCTATTGTCTCATATTGTCCTAATTTGAATTGTCCAAATTATTATTACTCTAATTGTATTAGTATTTTTACAACCATTTTATTACTATTAAACTTTTAAAAACAAGTGATTGGTGTTTTTCACACACTGAACCACTGCAAATAGAATAACTGAATTTATCATCTAATCTTTGCCTACAAGTTCCTGTGTGGCTGTTTCCTAAAAGAAAAAAAAAGATGAAAAACTAATCAAAGAAGAAATGCTTAGGATCATTTGAAATTCTGGCTAGCGATACCTTGTCATGTTGGTGAAAAAGTATTTCAATACCATAGGTCAGTGGTGATTCACATTTGCTAAAGATATATTAAGAAAGCTCTTATGGACACATATTCTGGATTTGATGTTGGAGTGCCTAGGAAAATTGCTAAGAAACCATTTTATTCTGTCTCAGAAACACTCATCTGAGTGTTTCTTGCCAAAACACTACTCAGGAAAATATTTATTAAATTACAAGTTTTTTCTTGCTCATTTTTTTCTAGAAAAGCAGTCTAGTTATAACTTTCCAGGATAAATTTTAGCTCCCCCATAAATTACATTATCTGACACCAGACTTTCTGCCATGATAACCTGCAGCTTTCAGCACATCACACTCCAGTAGTTTGAAATAACCATCATAGTGAAGGCAAATTTATTCACTCACCACTAAAGGAGTAAACTCTCCCTAGCTAAAGTTTATTTGCTGATATTCTATTTTCCTCATCCTTTCAATTACATACACAAAAACAATTTTACTATGTAGAAATAAGCCCTTTTACTATGTAGAAATAAGCCCATAGTTTCAGGGGTCTTGGCAAAGGGCCAGTTTAGCTCTGTGGTTTTGGTACTCACGCACTTAGTAGAAGAAAAGAGAGAAGCTCTATTAAATCCCTCAAAGTATTTTTCCACCCTAAAACTCGTCTAGCTGTTGCCCTATAAGTATCTTCCTTAAAAAGAAAAAAAGTCAGCAGTTAACATCTTAAATTTAACATCTTACGTTTTATGTTAATTCAGCAATTCCGATTGCTATTCTGAACAGAAAAGCCTGTCAAAAATTGTGACAGCAGGAATCTCATGATAATACCCTTGCAGAGAACTTTGCCATTGCTAAACAGAATTAATAGATACACAGGAGGTCAGGAAAAGCAGCATATTGGCAGAGTGGACACCACAATATGCACTTCAATCCACCTGTCCAGGCTAACATATGCATTCAGCAGTAGGAAGTCTTCAATCAATAATGGGCCAACACAGCCTGGTAAGATACTGTTTCACAGGCTACTCATTTTTCCAAAGTTTTATTCAGCAAGAGGCCTCACCTCCTACCTAAAAATCGTGTGACTTGTGGTGCCAACTGCATCTTTTTTCCCCAGTACTTTGGGATCATACTTTCACAGAAAAACAATTTATCCTGTCAGGTTACCACTAGTGCAACCTTCAGCAGCAGGCCTCTCTCATTATGTCACCTAAACAGATCAGTGAAAGACAGCAGCTGGGAAGGAAAAGAAAGAAGGAAAAAGAAGTCTGACAGCTTTGTGTGCTCGAAGAAGCCATTGATAAAAAATAAAACACAGTGCTTACATCCACATACATCTCGCATCGTTTTGTGTTCCTGTTCTACGGAAATAGGAGTTTACAGTCTAGAAGCCTGTGGCAATTCCTTGAAATGTATTTCAGAAGAGTCATCTCATTGCAAACTCATCTGAAATGCAGTTCAGCAAGTTTTAGATGTCTACCCAGCTATTTCCCAGTGCATCACACTCTCCTTGTATGCTGTGTTGCCTGTAGCAGCAAAACCAATATTTCCCTGTTGAATGAAGCATTACTTGTAAGGAGTAGAAGCAAACACTCTCTGCACTCCAGTCACTATCACCTAAAAGACTAGGAAGTGAAGACATTGAAAAAAGTTAACTGATATTACCTAGAGAAAAAAAATTCTAAACAGTTTCTAATCTAGTTAAAAGCTGAAGCTCAGCAACAGCCTATGCACTCTTATCTGGAGTTTACCAGGGGTCAAGTCTGCCCTATACTGATTTGGACACAGCCTCCCTTTCTGTTATGAACCAAAAACACACCAATGAATATGCTGCTGATTTATATCCCTCCATTCTGAGCATGAATAACACCTCTGCTAAAATCCAATCCAAAATCCAAGGATAAGGGCTGTGCTCAACAGGTTCAATCAGCAGCTATGCTGCAACAATGCACCACTGTGAAATAAAAGTAATAAAGCATCTATATATGTATCTGTATACACACATGCAAACACAATCTTTGAATTCTATCTATATACAAAGATATATTTAGAGATTATATCTGTCTTATAATCACAGAATCCACTGAGTTTGAAGGGACCCACAAGGATCATCAAGTCCAGCTCCTGGCCGTGCACAGGACCATCCCCAAAAGTCACATCATGTGCCTGAGAGCACTGTCCAAATGCTTCTTGAACTCTGACAGGCTTGGTGCTGTGACCACTTCTCTGGAGAGCTGTTCCAGTGCTCAACCACCCTTGAGTGAAGAACCTTTATCTAGAATCTAACCTAATGTATATATATTATATTATAGTATAACAGTATATATTCAATATAACAATATACATATATAACTATATATATATAGAGAGAGAGAGAGTTATATATATATATATATATCAATGTAACATTTCCCTGTATGTTTTATATAACAATTAATGTCTATAATATCATAAAATACAATGCATAACTATATCAATAAACTTACTTTGCTCTTCCTCCCTGCCCCTCCCTCCCCCAGCCACGGAAGGCAGTACCACAGAGAAGTTTGTGGTATTCCCTATCTTTCATAGAAAATGCTCAGAACCTCCTTTTGATCTTCCCTTATTCAATATGTGTAGAGAGTACCTACTAAAAAGCTCACACTCTACCAAAACAAACATTATACTTTGAAAACAACTCTCTTAATGGAGAGAACAACAAAGTTGGATATGTTCTATCCATAGAACACATATTAGCCACACTGCTACTTAATGCACTCCGGAAAAGCACTCAGCTACTGCTTGGGAAATAAAAACCCACATTCCTTTATCTATAGGAAAAACATTTTTTAAATAGTCTCACTGTTACTTACCATTATATATTGCATATGAGCTGATTATCATCAAAATAAACATAACCTAATTCAAAGTCAATTCACCATTAATCCAACACACTTGAATTCAAGCATGCAAAATATCTACCTCAACCTTTTGTGACAGAATCTGCTAACAAAACTGTTATCAGCTTGGGAAACAACAACAACAGAATGGTTCAAAAAGAATTAGTTTCCCTGGGTAATCAAGGTATGCCAATGAAGTAAGGTATTCCAGTCAAAATAGATGCTATGTCCTTCTACAAACAATTTTCTCTTCTAGATATCATAGAATCATCAGAGAATGATGGAAGGGATCTTGAAGATTATCTAGCTCCAGCTCTCCTGTCATGGACACCTTTCACTAGACCAGGCTGCTCAGAGCTCCATCCAAGCTGTCCTTGAACGCTGCCAGGGATGGGGCATCCACAGCTTCTCTGGGCAAACTGTCATATCCAGCCTTGCAGTTCAGATTTGGCTTCTCTACTTTATGAGACTTTATAAGACTCAAACTATTATACACTTACTTCCTACTGAGATACTTCCCTATGTGAGTGAGTTGGCTGCATAAGACTGTATTAACAAGTTAAGCAAGTTTGCTGGTGATTTGCCTTCATATGATAAAAAACTGAACTTTTTCAAAATAGTTGCAGAACTTATTGGAGTACCAGTTAAAGTGAGTGAATACACTCAGGTACTCACGAAAATGTCCAAATGCCTAACAATTTCATTGCCTGAAAATAAAAACTTAGTCCAGTCATCACTTCATCATGCTGGCCACAGTCAGCAAACAGTCAGCAAATCAACAACTTTCAGATATCAAGACCCAAAAGAATTTTGCTGGTTTTGCTCTCAGGGGATGAAATGTCAGCAGATTCTTCTTCCTGTCCTCCCTGTTTCCCATTTGACCTCCAAACTAGCGCGATAGTTCCTCATCTCAAAAACCAAGGGTTTGTACCTAGGGTTGTCTAACCAATGGCTTGTCATTTTACCAGTAATTCAAACTGGCCCTAATTAATGCTGACCCTGCAGCCTTTCCTTCTGTATATATCTGTATAGCTTTAATGCAGCTTTTGAAGTTTTCAGTAACATTTGCCCTAAATCAGTCTGGAGATACCAACTTGAATGTGGAAGTGTGATGATGAAAGTGCAGCACCATAACCATTCTGTCATCAAAACAGCTTGAGACTTTAATGATTCAAGAGTTAAATAAAAACAGTCATTGCTACACAGTGTAGACTTGTCAGACAAATAACATCAAACCATTACAGAATGGAAATCCAGCCAAGATACCCTACATCTGCTTTTACCTGGAGAGCCAACTTGGCAAAAAAATGGTGCTCAGGGAATGGCAGGAATCTGCAATTGTGAAATTGAAGCAATGGAGATGTGACAGGTTTTTCAACATTGCTGCAACTGAATACTTTTGCTCTTTGATATCAATATATTGGCCACTGTTTCACAAAGTATAATGTACCAATTCAGAGACTCTTACCTGATTTTTGAAATATACAGCAACACTAATTTTCTGATCTGCCTCAGCACAGGCAATATATTACAGACTACTTACACAGAGAAACACAAGGGGTCTTTCAGTTTGATTTTTTAACTATTGTAAAATAGATCATCTAAATTCAAGTGAGTAATTTAAGTATCTTATTGGTTAAAGGCAAAGACCAAATTAACAGAAAATAATAGACAACAACCACAGAAGTCTTGTGAATCCTCCCCTCAGATCAACAGGGAATAAGGAACAGCCAATTATTGTGACAATTGTACCCTCACACACAGATTACTCATCATGACTTGTGAGATGACAGTGAGGTGGCTTCATTTAAACAGTGAGACCTAAAAAAATACCAAAAACTACTGCTATTATAAAGATCTAACTTTTGAAGTAGAACATGAAGCTAATTATACATGCTGAAGATTAAAACTATGAAATTACAAAATATACTTAGAGCACCAAAATCATGAAGAAACTAGTACTATACAGGCCATCCACACAGCATCTACTTTCCAAAGTAAAACTCAAAAAGGCATTTTTCTTTTTTCTGCTTTTTTTTTTTAATTCGCTCCAGTAAGAAACCTAAATAATATTAAGATCAGCATCCAGAGACAACTGAAAAGTTTCAAGAAAAAAATTTTCATGCAAATTCATTTGGAGTTGGTGAACTGATTTGTCTCACAGCTCTTAATTCTTTCATAAAAACACTCTAAAAAGACATTCAGCAAGAAATAAAACTGAAAAAAGAACAACAGTGAACCTGGTGTTAAGGAAAAAACGAAGACACAACTAAGTGTCATTTAACTATAAAATGAAAAACTAATAGAGAGTGGGAGGAGAGGGATGTTGTATCATACCTTAGTAGGAATCCGTAAGTTTTCAATAGGACTGAGGTCATTAACACTCTCCTGAGGACTTCTTAGACCCTTTAAAAGAATTTTAATAATCAGTTAAGTTTGATTCCTTTATATATCTTGCAATCAAGTCTTACCTGATGTTGAATAGGTCTCTACAGGTCTGTTAATAAATATTCTGACATGTAGCAGGAAGGCTAAGACCTCATTCGAGAAACATTTCAGCAAGACCATCGGTATATAAATTATGTTCCACAAACATCTAAGCATTTCCAGTTTTATGCTGCAATATGTACCTTTTCAGAACAGCTCACTAACATTTTCTTTAGCAAACTCACATCCTCCTGTCAATGTCCAGATGTTATCTTAAATTTTAGAATGAGCACGTGTCCAAAAAACATAGCATACTTTGTATCACTAACTTTATGATTTAATGGAATCAAATAGCTGAATTCAAGTTAGGTGCCAGCTACTCTATTGCAAGATTATTTCTGCTTGATGGCATATTTTTTATACTTAACATATTCCACAACTAGAACTGGCTTTCCCTATGTGTAACTGAACTGAAAAGGTTGCATAATCCACACTAGCTGCTTTATAGAATTATTACTCCTTAAAACACGTATAGCCACATAAATAGCACGTGTGTTTGTTGAATATCAAACATATTTACAATTTTCATAGAAAGGTTTGGGTTAGAAGGAAACTAAAGATCATGCAGTTCCAAGGGACACCTTCCACTACATCAGGTTGCTCAGGGCCCCATCCAACCTGGCCTTGAACACTTCCAGGGATGGGGCACCCACTTCTCCTGACAACCTGAAACAGCATCTCACCATTTCAAGCAGCAATACCACAGAACAGGCTGCTTAGTATATTTTCTGCCAGCTCCCTAGGCAGAGGCAGAAATGAATCTACACATTCAAGTTTCAGATATGGTTCTGACTCCAGCTTCCCTTGAGACTTCAGTGTGTTCCTGTGAGTCAAAAGTTTCAGGTGGGCTTTCTTCCTTCTCCTGTGATCAATGTTAACAGTATTTTTTCCAAGCCCCTTTCTGGTCCTGGGTACCCATATTTCTAAAAGGACCTACTATATCAGTTTATGGTGAGAAAGTTTGTATTTATTCTTTGAAACTGACAAAGCATTGTACACAATTTCAGTGCTAACTACTACATTTTACAATTGTTTCATCCTCCCTAGATGCAGAACCTCTCCATTTTGGTTTTGGTTCTCAGATTTTGTCACACATCACTTCAAAACATCCTCCCTCTGCAGTTGCCACCATCAAAGATGACTCACCTCTACGCATCAGAAATTCAAAGCAAGAAATAAGCAAAGCAACTGCTGCATTTCTCATACTTCACACAAAATCTTCCCCAAGTCCTCTCAAAAATATGCAGTTCTAGTGACTTACCTCCAGAAGAAATTAAATGTTTCACTTATCAAATGGTAAACGGAACCTAATCCTTTCAAATGACTGAAAATTGCCTAAGTTGTTATCATTTGCAGAAAACATCATCTCCACACTGGGCAGGCTTCCCAGCACTCCTCCTGTCAAGCTGAAAACGAATCATGTAACCCTCTACTGAAGCAGAACAGAACACTATTCTGGCAATTCCACTTTCACACAAGTATTCATTTTTGAGCCCTGCCTCCTGCATAAGGATCACAACTCCGAGGGCATAGTTCTAGGGGAAAAAAAGCTTCTGACTTTCCCATGATTTTCTGTAACTATCTAGAATATCTGATGTGGGCAACACAAGTGATTTTTTTTTTAAGTTCTCCAATTAGACACAAATGAAGAGGCTTCTTTTCAAGGGTATCTTATATATGCGAATAACTGGAATGTTCTGCTGATACACTTCTCAATCTTAGAAATATTGGTCCAAAAGTAGGCTTAGATCTACATAATCCTGGAGACAACCGGTACAAGTAGCAGACAGCAGTGAGGTGACAGACACACACCGAGTGCTCTGGCACACACTCCCTGTGTGCCCACCCAAATCTGTCCCTGGCACCTTCTCAGCCTCGCCTTCCTTTGGACCAAAAGCATTTGCTGCCAGACAAAGCCATGTTACAGAACCACAGCCCAGCGCTCAGAATTATATGTCAAAAAAGCAAACTGACACGGGCCCGCCCTGTCATCTTCAACAACGATGTCTCTGTTGTGACAAGAGCCACGCCGTGGCACCTGAGCACGCTTCCATTTCTCGGAGCAGAGAAACAAGGCGGATGCGCGAGCAGCAGGAGCCCGCACGCCCCGAGCCCTCCCCGGCAGGGCAGAGGGCGATGCCCGCGCACCGGCGGCTCTCCGGAGTGCCCGGGCAGGCACGGCGGCCCCGAGGAGAGCCCGGTACCCCGCCGCCCCCCGAGAAGAGCCGCTCACCTGGCGGGTCATCAGCGACTTGATCTTCTGCATGATGGCCCCACCGCCGCCGCCCCGACTGCGCTCAGCGGCCGTGCAAGGCGCCGGGGCACGGCGCAGCCATGTTGGGCGCCACCTGACCGCGCCCGCCCGCGGCTCCCTGGGAGCGGTAGTTCCCGAGCGGCCGCCACGACTACAAGTCCCAGCAGCGCGGGCGGCAGGGCGGGTCCAGGGTCCAGGAGCTGTGGTGTTTGTGTATTGGGGCTCGGGTGGGTACATTCGGACGTGCTTAGCTCAGGAGATAAAACGCGATTCTGTGTGTAGAGACAAGCTACAGCGTACAAATAGGCGAGAATTTCCGGGCTGTCTCGGGTTCTTTCGGGCGTTATGCACAGACCGTGTCTGGCCTGATCACGGGTGATGGATGGAGTTTTGCGTGGGCAAAAGAAGCTTGTGTCACTCTTATTTAGTTGTATTGATAGTAACTTCAAAAAAAAAAAAACGACACACACCAAAACCCACCAGATAGCTTTTTAAATCTAATTTATATCAGCACAAGAAAAGAAAGAATTTATCCTACAGTCTTTGCTTAAGTGGAGGCAGCATTCGAGGGTGAGGCCGCCTGCACATGGGCTGTGGCATGGCTGTGCCTGTAGGAAAAGGAGTTTTTTCCATCTCCAGGGCACGTAGGTCCGCTCCGTGTGTTTCCCGATCCTGCTGTTGCCCAGCGCCGCAGCTGCTGCTGGCTTGGTGCAGGGTAGGGCAGTCGGAGCCGGTGCCTTTGAAACCACACACTGACAAAGGGAGGGTCGGGAGCCATGGGCCGTCCCTGCTTCCTTGGCAGGAGTTCATTGCTTCTGGCTGCCATTGGAATACCCTGTAATTGTTTTGTGGAAAACTTCTAACAGGTTAAGCATATAACAAAGGTACTTTTCATTAATAAAATAACTAAAATTTGCAGATTGTTGGCGCTGCAAATAGTGTTGCTTTAATTTAGTTGCTTCTATTCAAAAGGAGGGAGGTTTGATTTGTGTTAAATCTAAATGCCATTTAACAACTCGCACAAGCTAGTGAAAATAAAATCCATTTTCCACATGCACGACATTTGTGTGAGTTTGTGTAAAAACTTGCAGTATATTAATAACATCAAGAATATATTCAAATGCTGGAAATTACAGGACGCAATTGAAAAACGTAACTGTGCTTATCTGTTCCTTTTTTTTTTTTTTTTTTTTTTTGCTCATATGGGACATTTAAAGTGCCAATACAAATTTTATTCCAGTACTAAACATCCCATTACTTCAGTTAGAACTTAGTTGGAATCCATGACCAATATTTTGTTTCATGGTGAAATAAAATAGATAATAATTTCTAACCTAGGTTTTGTGAAAGATTGCAATTTGATATATCAAGCCCACAGTTAGGTGGATTAAGCAGCTTCCAAACAAGAACATTCAGGTGGGCAGGACAATGGAAAGCTTTTGGGAATATATGAGATACCCTCTTCATCTCCTGGCATATGTCAGGTGGTGATATTATTTCTGGTGGGATCACTAAACTTCTGCTTTATTAACCTGGAATAACCCTTGTGTTTCTTATATTGGACCTGGAAGCACGTGGGTGTTTTCACCTCTCTTTAACTAAGGTAAAAATTGAGGGCTCATCTCTTCTGTTGGGGGCTTAGCACCTTGCTGGACCCCTGCTCCCAGCACACAGTGAGGGGGAGGCAATCCCTTCCTACCGCATGCTCCTGCACAAAGTGGAATGCAGTCTAGCCTAATGTTTGTTAATCCATAATAGTCTGCCTAAGTGCTGTTTAGTGAAAAATATTGTGTGGTTTTCTATGGAAAAACCATGTCTGTCGCTGCTAATATTTGCTGTTGCAAACTGTTACTGCTCAGCTCTGGGAGGGTCTGTCCAGTTTGCTGCTGATTTGTATGGTGAGAGACAGCTTTGGACAAGATCCAAACCCTACATAAATGTTAATTTAAACTGGTGTAAGTTAATGGAGAAGAAACAATAATCAGCACTTAACAACTGTAGTAAGCTGTCCACTCCTGCCATAGGATTTTCATTTCAAAGATGTGTCATAGGCACTTGACATCACATGTTGTTTAGAGAAAGGGAGTTAATTCTTTGCTGAGTTATACTTATGTTAAGGAAAAAAATACAGAAATGTTATAGGCTTAAAAGTGCTAAGAAAAAAATTAGAAAGGCTCTTTGATGGGGGGAGATTTGTAACAGAAAATGAGAGGCTGTCATTTAAAAAGTTCTGAAAAAATATTGTGAATACTAATTTTAGTTTGAAATAAGCATGTAGCATCACAGTATTTTTTATGAAACTGTAACTAAAGGAAGTTAATAACAGTATAACCTGTTCACCTGGTGCGTTTACTTATTTCTATTAATTAAATGTACTTTGTATTGTGTGCCCCATTTATTACATTCTGTGTCATATTTGCTGTGACTGCTGGGGAAGGGTTATGATAAAGTCAGAGGCAATGAAGATGGGTCCTCATCTAACAGGTGTTCCACTCCCTTTGTTCTTTGTATACACATATTCAAATCACCTAAGGCAGGGGACAGGATAGGACCTGTTAACTCATTGCTGATTTCCCTAGCAAATAAACCAGCAGCTGCAGGTCCAAGCCCTGGCTTAGTGCTGAGAGGGTGGCATTTGTGTGGGACAGGATGCTTTCATGGAGCCCTTTAGCCAACTTCTTTTGGGACTTACAGTGCAAAATATATTTTCTGCTTGTAGGTAAGATACAGTATTCATTATATTTGATTGTCATTGTGGAAATGTGAGTTGGTTCTATTAGATTTATCTTTATAAAGTTAAAGATATTTCTGTTGTATTGTCAGATGTTTGATTTCAGGAAGGTAGCCTAAAAGCTTTAGTGGCACTTTGTTTTATAAGTGAAGCTAAAGCTTTAGCAGCTGAACAAAAATGAGTGCTATACATAATCTCTATGTAAAACTTGGCATTGATTAAATACACATAATCTACATGTAAAACATGAGTATTGATTAAATACATACTATTACATTTTATTGAGTAACATACATTGTGCATTCTTTTTAACAAAGCTTGACAGATTCTAAACCTAAGATTATACAGAAGCTGTTTATTACTTCTTTAACAATTTATTGAGACAGCACTGATATGTTATTTTTCACTTATTTTTTATTAATTAATTTATAAGTAACATCTAAATGTAATTGGTATTGAAACTAAATTAAGCTTTTGGTCAGCTGAAGAATATCTCCCCATTAATAGTGTGTTTGTTTGGTGTCTGTGTGCAGTTTTTGTAAGTGTGCATTTGTTACCCATGCAATGGATAAAAAATAGATATTCTATGTACTTTGACAGAAATATCCTGTAATCAAATGTTAGATAAGCTTATTTCTACAAACTACTGTAATTAGCTTTTTTCTATATTTAATTGGTTTTGTAAATATCAACTGAGAAAATATATAATATTACAAATGTAGTGCATCCTCTAATCCTTCATGTATAGGAATAACTTTTATCTTCTTTGTGAACCTCACAGTTCTAGCTTATTATAAAGTCACCTAGTTTCCTTGATTTTGAGCTTGATACTTTTACAAGACATTTGGCTTCATAATGATTGATGTTTTATATGACAATTATCAGATCTCTTCTTTAAAAATAAAAAAATATTTGGTTGATAAAAAGCAGTGATTTTGTCCTTTATCTACTTTACCACTTTATTGGATATTTTTCATTAAAATCCTGCAAGAGTTACTGTCATACAAACAGAGTGCTTAGAGTACAGGTTCATTCACCATGAAGCCTTACATCCTTACCCAGATATACACATTTTCTAGTGAAGGAAATGTGGTGCCCATACTTCATATCATGGGGAAATCTGGTGCATTGGAGACATGACACAAAGGCCACTGAAGGCATTGACCTCAGTAAATGAAATTAAATCCTGTAACAAATCTCAGTGGAACCTTTTCTTGGGGAAAAAACCCAATCTAGGCAAGAATATTCCCAAATTTTCCATTATAGAAATTACAGCTTTCCTCGACCATAACATCTGGGTTGTTTGAGGTTTTTTGTTCCATAAATAACATACCTTTAAAACAGGGAAAAATATATTTCACTGATCTAGTGACATTTTGCACCAAGTTCAGGAGAGCTGAAGGGCTAAATGAACACTCTGGTGAAAAGCAGTTGAGAATCCAAACTCACTTTGACAAAGAGATATGCATGTTAAATTCTGAGAATCCTAAAATCTCGCTAAGCAGGTTTCAGTTTATGCCATAAACTCAAAAGTTATGTCATAGTTTTTTATTTAAACTAAAACTGCAGCCCTTGTTTTATGTCAACAACAAGTCTGTTGTGCTTGCTAATATTGATGAGAGCAATGTGAAAGGGAAGCAAAGCACAGATCACTGAGCTCCAAATGGAGGTCGTTGTGTTCCAGCCCTTACAATCACTATACAAAAGTTAGATCTTGGAATTTCATCATCTTGGGAAAAAAAGTGTATTATATTTGTGAAGCTGTAGGCATAGGCTTGAATGTTATGGGATTTGGGCCTGAAAAATATGAATTTAGTTTGACACATTGGCTTGATTTTGCTATTAACTTTAATTTAAAGATTAGTCATAACAGTCTCCAGTTTAAATTAAAAATCAAAATTAGTCTACTACAAGTGAATCATAGAACCCTTTAGGTCAGGGAAGACCCTAAAGAGCATCAAGTCCAGCCATAAACCTAACACTGCAAATTCCTCCAGTAAAGCATGTTCCTGGGTGCCACATCTGCATCTGTGAAGTATCCCCAGGGAGATGACTCCACCAGTTCCTTGGGTGTCCCATTCTAATGCCTGACAACACTTTTGGTGGAGAGGATGGCCCTCTCAGTAAAGAAGATTCCAGACTGCAGAAGACATGATCTCTGCTAAGACTGGAATATTTCCGTCACTGTAAAACCCTTGCCTTTGACAGAGCACCATTATCTATTAAATTGCCCCAGTCTCAGCCTGCCTTCTCCCTTGCCCCTCCAGCCATGGGGAAGCTCCTATGGGATGTTGGCACTCCACAAAATCACCCCAGCAAAGCCAGAGAGAGCAACAAGAACTGGAGTTATCCAAAGCCACTCCTGAAGGGGCTGGGGAGAAAATGGGCTTTCTGCCCTCACCATCTCTGGTTCCAGCTAAAAGAATTTCCTTACTTGCAGATCAAAATATTTTTCCAGGACACTACACAGAGCAAATTTTTCCTGTAAATCAAGTGTAACAAAGTTAATTTGCAGTTTCTATTCCAACAGGTTTTAGCTGCTATGAAAGTCCATTTTCCAGCCCTGATTCTGTTTTCATTACTCTGTTGTGCTGTCACCTTCCATACTGGTGGTCCCAGTTATCCTGGTGCTCACAAGACCTGCTTAGGTTATGCTAAATTTTTGCATGAACAGATCTTTGAGAAATATTCCTTATTTTCCATATTTTATGATTGTACTGCTTCTTTGACTGGCATGTTGTCCAACAGCACAATCACCTATTGACAGCTAAATAAACCCAAAAATTGAACAGCATCATGCATAAAAAATGAGTAAGTATATGGACAGATCTTTTAATTACAGATCTCTCTGTGTTTGAGAGATGTGTTTGACTTTATTCCAGTTGATCTAAAAATTGAAATGGGTAGTTTTGTAATTGGTAGGTTATATAAATAGGTCTCTAGCATTAAATATTTCATAAAGGATTCTACTGAGGAGTAAAGTGGACAAGAGCAGTTTAAATCTGATTTACACTGTTATGTTGTCAGGGAACATAATAACATCTGAGAAGTGTTAGAATAACCAACAAAAATACTTAATGTATCCTGTTAACCAGAGTCTAGCAAGCCTTGAAGAGTTGTGCAGTGTTAGAAAATTGCAAAAATAACAGGCTACAAATACTATTTAAAAGGGGTAGAGGAGCAGGCTTCAATTTGATTTGCATCAGCTGGTTTAGATTTTTCATCTAGAAAGTTAAGCATGTAAACATCTCTGTCCTATGTATCCTCCACTTAAACCACTCCACATTTTTTCTGCACTCTTCCTCTTCCTCTTTTCTTACCCTGTTCTCCTCCTATCTCAGCTGAACCCCAGCCAGTCCTTTGCAAATTAAAGTCCATGCAGCCTGAAGCCCTCGGTCTGCTTCCTCCTTAGCCCCATTAATGGGGGCTTGCCAGGCCTTCTGTCAAAGGATTTCACTGTCTTTTTGTATTTCCCTGTTAGTATTCTGCAGTGTTTTCCTTTGGCTGCCCTGCCATGCCCTCAGAAATGCTGTAAGCTATCTTTAGCGGAGTGTAATATTGCTCAGCTTTATGAAAAGGGAACCAGCCACAAAATTACTTCTTTGGGGCGGATTCTGTACAACATGCTGGCTACCCATGAGCCAGACTACTCACACTCCAGAGTAGCTCTGACATTAATTACTGGCATTACTGCTGCATCTGTAACTACCACTCCCTTTCTGTGTCTCCACCCTTATCCCCAACAAGTTTGCTTTGCCATTACCTCACGGCAAACAACTGTGCACTGAAATTTGATAATTCTAACCCAAAAGACATGTACAGATACCATATTATGCTACTGAATTGATTATTTTTCTGTCACATAACCTAGGAAATTAGACATAAAGGAACCTTTAACAATTTCTGTCATAAAGAATAATGAGATGAAAGTAGGAAATGTAAGAAACAAAGTTAACTCTGCATTATATTAGTGAGCACAGTCACATATTTTTCATAAATTGCTCCTTCTGCTCTTCCCTACCCACCCAGCTCTTTCCAGGTAGAAATAAGAAATACATTCCATGTACATCGGCTGGGAAGTTACTTTTTCATTACAGGAAATTGGAAGCCTGTCAAGAATCACAGAATCTCAGGTTTGAGGGACCTCAAGGATTATCAAGTCCAACCAAAAATGATCATTAGCAGGAAAAGGATAGATGGTGCATGGTGAAAGTGTTGCATGCTAACCAGGGCAGTGCGTTCTCAGTCTCCAGTGTGCTCTTATGCAGTAGCAGATGGATTACTTAAATCATGGTTTTTACATTTCTTGCTTATAAGAGGTTGCTTTTTTCCTAGGGTTTTTTTTTTACCACTTGCAGTCACAAATCTGAGCAATTAAACCTGCAACCAGAGTCAGTTGGAGTTGCATCTTGAACATACCAAAATATTTTTATATGTATTTTGAAAAATCGTATCCTTTATATTTCAAATTTATCATCCAAAATGAGTCTGTATTTTTGTGGTTAATTTTCTCTGGGCTTAAATTCTTCATCTCTAAAGTCCTATCAGTGCTGCGAGGTCAGTTCATTAATGTCAACTCTTTACATCAATGCTGTTCTCATGAGTGCTGTGGAAAAGTTAATGTGAAAATCAATCACTTAGTTCCAAGACTAAAGCTTTAATAGTGTTCTATAAATATGGCTTAGGCCAGCACAAGGAAAAATTATTTTTAAAAATGTATTGGAAAGACAGTGATTAACCAAGGAGTGGCCTTTTTGCACCATAACAGAGACAGAATTCTTGGAAAACAGAATTAATCATGCGGCTGCAAATTTCACTTTTGTGCATATCAACAGCAGGGCTTAATTCTGGCAATTTCCTAAGACAGGAATACTTGAATTTTGCAAGCTTTATATTGTTTCTTCAAGTTAGTCTTACAGGTACAGAGCAGTCAGCAATAATAGTAATATATAGTTTAAGTCAGAATTCATGAAAGTGCTGCTTGTCAGATTTTCAGTTTCCTAGTGTAACTGGCAGAGTACCTAAGAAGCTCCTCTGCAGCCAAACCAATCCAAAAAAAAAATCATAAAATCTGAGTTTACAATCCAAGAGTGTTAGAAAGTGTAAGACCTAGAAATACAAAATATTTTAAAGGGAACATATTTTATACATTAAGGTAAATGTACATTATCTCATTTTTGTCAAACTTTCATCAGTAAAAGATCCTTCCTTTGGCTTTTTGTATAATATGAGGCTAGAGCTCTGTAGTTAGATCCAGCTTCACCAAGGTCAATGAGCTCTTGCCCCTTTTGTACTTAAGTCTGAATTATAACCAGGTAAAAAAAAAAAGTAAGTTTTAGCCTAGAGAGTTTTTTCATTGTGAGAATTTCTCATTTGAGTTTTTTGGGGTTTCCATTTGTCTTTTGGGTTTGTTTATTTGTTTGTTCTTTCATTTTTATGCAGGGATTTGTTCTGCCTTGAAATTGACAGTACCATCTCATACCATCCATGGTATTGAGGGGCAACCACTTCATCTTTCTGTTGACTACAATTTCAATGCTACAGCTTCTGAAATCCAGATAATTTGGCTTTTTGAGAGGTCTCAAAGTAATCCAAAATATTTGCTTGGCTCTGTAAATCAAAAAGTAATTCCAGACTTGGAATACCAGCACAAGTTTACCCTTATGCCACCGAATGCATCTTTGAGGATTAACCCATTGCATCTCAGTGATGAAGGCAATTACATTGTAAAAGTCAATGTCCGTGGAAATGGGACCATAGCTGCAAGTCAAAAGATTCAAGTTGCTGTTGATGGTAAGTTAGTAAAAGATAGTACCTTCATTTTGAAAATAAAATTACAATAGTTTTGAAGTCCTGGTTCTTAGTATCCAGTTGCAATGGTGTCTTATTTAATGAAACCATACATGAAAAAATGCATACAATTATGTATTTTCTTCTGCTGGTGGAGGGAATACAAATACAAAAATATGTCATCTTTAAAGAAAATTAATGTATTGATTGATGTTTCTATATCGTAAGTAAAAAACTGAAGAGGCATAGAAACATTTAAGATGATATTAGACATTAGACAAAAAATAAGATTTCATAAGTTTCTGCTGTGCTATCACGAGGATGCATTGAATTTCAAACAGTCTTTTTCCCTGAACAACTTTACCTCCTGTAATAAAGAGAAGCCATTGGCTTTTGCTGGTGACTGTAGTCTGTAAAAGAAGCCCAGATCTGAATTCATAAATTTACTGAATTTCCCTCTTTAGGCTCTGCTCTTTATACTGGGGACTTAAAAAAAAAAAAAAAAAAAAAAAAAGAAAAGAAAAAGAAATTGGAAAAGAATTATCTAAAAGGATGACAACAGGCTTCTGTAATTTCTGGATTATACAGAGGGAATCCTGTAACTGAAGGGTTCAGGGTTGGAAGGAATGAGATGAACGACATCTTGAGGTGACAAAGTTGTAGGTGCCATTTAAGTCCCAAAGCCATCCCAATCTGCAGACATCCTCATCACAGGTTGCCCCAATTTCAGTGGTGCCCAGTGGGGGCAAAGCTGTTGGCATCATGCTGAGGTCACACACGGTGAGCAGTGTCATGCTTTGTGCTCTTTTCATTTCTGTGGACTCAGTGATTTGTATATGAGGCAAGAGGCCGTGATACACATGACTGAAGACTTTATCCTATTACCAGTAATATAAACTGTCTGGTTTTATTTATTTATGTACAATTTATATTTATATATATTTATTTATATACAATTCTTACAGTCACCAGCTGAGAATATGGCCTTCCTTTTTAATCTTTAAGTGCATTTAAGAGATAAAATTTAAAATATTAGTAATTTAGAGAAAGATTTATGATTGCTATTTGAATCACCTTGACCATGAAGACTGTAATATAATGGCTTGTCACTTTAACAACTCTTCATATCTCTTTATTTTACAGTTCCAGTCACAAAGCCAACTGTACATACCGAACCATCTTCAGGAGTAGTGGAGTATGTAGGGAATATTACCCTAAAATGTACTGTGGATAGAGGAACAAGGGTAGTTTACCAGTGGATGAAAAATGGGAAGCGTCTTCATGCTGGCCCTAATTATATCTTTTCATCAAACAATGCTACACTTCTAATTGTTCCTGCAGTAAAAGAAGACATTGGGAATTACAGCTGTCTGGTATCTAACCCTGTCAGTGCAATGGAAAGTGAGATAATTGCACCAACCATATATTGTGAGTATATGAAATATTCATTATTATCTTTGTATGAATGATTTTGCTGGAAGGAGTGCCTCCAAATATGAAAACAGGCAGAAAACAGTGGAGTCAACATTGTATGTGAGCTTGCATTCAAAATGAGCTTGTTTGCAATAGCTCTAACTTAAGACAGGATCATAAAATTGTTTAGTTTTGTGTGGTTGTAAAGATCAGACTCAACTGCAGAATTCAAATAGAAACTTCAAAATTTCCAGAGATGTCTTCAGATGTGAGTCAAAAGAAAAAAATAATGAGATCATTATAAATGAAAATGTTGTTATAAATGAAGACACCAAATAGTATCAAAAAGCTAAGCCTGGAAGTAGCAGGCTGAAGAACTGGTATTAGTGGGTTTCCTCAAGATAATTTCAAGTCCAGTCTTTTTTAATACTTCCATTAATGGCACCAGAAAGAGGATAGGCAGTATCTCAATGAAGTTAATTTACAAAATTAAATAGGAGGACTGAATGACTTTGACATAGTAATAGAGCTGGGATGAGATTTGCTAGTAAAAAATAAATGGGCATGCCTTTCAGAGAATAAAAAGCATGAACTTCTGCTGATAAGATTGAGATTGATTAGAAAATAGATCTTAGAGCCTTCTCATTTTGATCCATGTCAGGAATTCCCAGTGCCTCCACTGTTTTCAAGTAGCACATGCTGCACATATGTCACCTGCTATGCTCTAATCCTCATGTCCTCAGGGGTCAAATTATCCTTCTCAGAGGAGAGCTGAAATTTGAAAGGCCGGGACCTACTTTGTCACCAGTCCTATTCAGATATAGCCAGTTTGCCCCATGGCCCAGTCTGGAAGGGACACTGCAAAGACTGGAATTGAATTCCTGTCCTGCCAAGGGCTGGTGCTCATTCCTGCTTTTCTCTGCAGCTTTTTCCTGCTTTTCTGGCAGCTGGCAGCTGGTAGGCAGCCTATGCTCAACTTGTTATGATTGCACTACCAACGTATTCAGAACCTACATCTCTTACATCTTTACCTCTTATATTTTCCTCCTCCTCCTTTCATCTTTCATTTCTGATTGTCTATTCTGCTATTGTTCAGAGATTTTTGTTATAACTTGAAGAATTCATTGCATAAGGGGATGACTTCCATCTAAAGTATTGAAGGAGGGGGTGGGTCTCTACACTGCACCAGGAGAAGAGAAAAGGACTGCTTAAATTAGCAAAGATTAACAAGAACATAGTTAGATACGAGCTTATAAAATTGACAGCAGTGCAGACTTGAAGATGAAGAAGCAGTTGCAGAGTCCTAAACAGGGCAAATATTAATTGAGCTTCCATCTCATTAGACAGAGGAATCATGGTAAACAAGGAAATAACCAGCACTGATAGAGCTTTAACTTATCATTACTGTAATTAAAAAAAAAAATCCATCACATTCTTTCCTCGAGGTAGCACATTTTTATATGCCTGCTTTTGTAGAGTCACAATCTCAGCTCACTTATGTGCTTGAAGTCCTAAGAATGAGACCTGAAGGTGTATGAATGTAGCTCCTCTACTGGGTTTCTCACTTTAATGAGGTGTGAATTGGTCTTATACAGATCTGTCTTCAAAGAGTACCTACGCAGAGCTTGGGACACTGTATCCATCCTGACAGCCTCTTCCCATGCAGTGAAGTTGGGGCAGGCTAGAAAAGCTTCTGCCACCCTTGTTACCTTTCAGACAGCTCTGTTTGTTGCACAGCTCATGTGAGATTTGAATTTCTGACCTGTTACACATGGGATTGTCTCCAAAGCACTGATGGCGCTGGCAGGGGTCTGGGACACTTGCTCTGACAACGTGTGTGCCCTTCAGTCCCAGCTCTGGTACTGCTTCCCCCCTTCTTCCTCACTCAATTACATGCATTTTTCAGTAAATTGAAAAATCTGTCTAAGTTCTAAACTAGAAACCTGTTTTTGACCTACTGTTTACCAGAATTTTAAAATCTCAAAGTTACTTATGTGTCCACATTTCTTGTATCTTTTGCTGTTTAAATGGTTGTGATATACAGCTTTATCAAAAACCTTGAGATTCACTTTTCCTCTATGTGTGTAAATATTATTGTTATATGCATTTTCTGAATGTCCTTCATCAGAACTGAGGGTTTGCTTTGTGCATAATATAAAATCTGAAAAAATATATTAAGAGCAAAAAATGCAATGCTGAAAGACTTCAAATACCTGTGATATTTAAAGTCTCTATATCCAAGTCAGTGATGGGAGTTGGGGTCTTACTTCCTGAGCTATATGAAGTCACCTAATTTGGTTCAGCCTCTGCCTGCAGAAGTACTTTGTCTCCCAGCTCCCAGTTGTCAATAACAATCCAGAACAGGCCCCAGGATCTCTCTCTGCCATATGTCATTGCTGTGGGGGAGTTATTGGAGGTGATAAAGAAAAGGTCGCTCATGGTAAATACCTGCCATCTGCTTGGAAACTGCACCAGGCTCGTAGTGATGGGAGCAATTGGAAATATTCCCATGGAGCAGTAAATTGTTACTCAGAAAGATTGATTTATTCTTTTACACATCATTTAGTTAACTGGTTTTACTGAGACAAGAGGCAGTCTTCTGTAGAGAGCAATACTGGAAAGGGAAAATAGAGCTGAGGGATCCATGAAGGCTGTCATTGTGGGTTGTTACTGAGTATGAAAAGTGGTTTTTAATTCATGTCTTATTAATATTGTCCTGCTTCTCCATTAATTATGATGATAATGCAGCCTGGAACATGGCTGTTGCAGTCATGTGACTCAGAAACAAATTATTTCAAGACTGGAAGAAGCTGCTTTCCTGTAGGCTGCAGCAGACACTGTTGTACTGTGTTGATGGAGTTGAACTCAGCATGCTAAGTGGAATTTTCTTCCTCAAGTCTTCCAAAAGATAGAATATACTTAGTACTAGTGAGAGAATGGTTAATTGCCTACTTTTCAGAATCATCCTTGAAGCTGTGTATAACTGTCAGTTACCCATTGTTTAGGGACCTTGATGTACACAATGCCCAGGAGAGGCAAAATATTGCTCCAGGCAAAGCAGAAGGGTTACCCAATCCTTGTGTTGACTTCAGCAAGGAATGTCACTTTTCAGATTTTGCCAAGGTTTGGCTATTTCTTAAGACAACCCCTCTGGTTTTTTCCAACTTACTTTCCCAGCCAGTGTTTGTCAGTGTTTGTATAATGATTTCTTTCAACTTGCAGCTTCCATTAAAATATAATTCTCAGTGTTATCTCTTTATGCTGCACAGTTATGATACTGATAAAAAAGCAGAACTCAGTTCTAATTCTTTTGCAGACGGTGGCAAACCACCCACTACAGTGAGGAGAACATGGAAACCAGTCAGCTATTCTTACCAATAATCTCTGTTAACACATATCTAAGTCATATTACCTGTGAAAATAAAAGAGAATTCTCCTAAGAAGGGAGAATTGGATTGAAAGAACCACTGAATTGCTCTGAAAAGTTAAAAAAAAGTATGTTCCTGCCTACACATAGGTTGTGAGGGGCTTTAATTCATTTACAAAAAACATCAAAGGCCATTACATGCCTTCTCCTTTCAGATCTGAAAAAAAGGGAAGTAAATACCCATAAGAGGAGTGCCCCTGTGACAAGCTCCCCTTCCACAGAAACATGCAGCTCAAGTGAGGCCAGCCAAGCCAAAAGAGTGGGGTATAGGTCTGTACTTCACAGAAATGGTCATTACAGGTCCAGCTGGCTCTTGGAGACATTAAACCAAATTACTCAGGAGCAGCAGAGCCTGTGAGGAAGCAGCCCAGCATCTAGAACTTGTGAAAAGAAATGCCATGATTCTTCAGAATGGCCACTGCAATGTAGGTGGGAGCAGCACTAATTCATGCTGAAGTGAATTTGTATTGCATTTCCCAAGAAAATATTATGCATGATGTTGGCCATTCCTTAAAATGAGACTGCAAAAAGCTTACCTCTAGGAAATAAATAGAGAAAATTAAAAGATTGACAAGTTTATGTTGTGAAATATGGATATTTAATTAAAAGTGAACTAAACTGAGGTCATATGTGGTGGTCTATGGTCTCTTGTCTAAGCCTGAACAAACAGAAAAAAACACAGAGGTGCGCACAAAATGGCCAGGTTTGTGCTATGTGCTGGTGGCTGAGGTGTTCTTGAAGAATAAATAAGTCTTATGAAAAAAGTCAAACAGTAAATAGAAGTGTGTATTAGAGAACATTCTAACATGGTCCTGAATTTCCTGGTGGGAAATAAAGTCTGAAATATATAAGTGTGCAGCTTCATGTAGCAGGGATTTTCCCATTCAAACTCAGCTACATTATCTTAATTCTTCCAGACAACCACAGGAAGGTGGAAGTTTTACTAGATTCCACTGTCTGCAATGGGCACAGTAGTGTGCCTGTTTTGTGCTACACCATTGTGTATGAGACAGCTTTACTGATCTTCAGGGATCCAACCAAAGGAATACTCTGCATATTTTCTTCTTTTGCTCTGTCGTATTAGGTCTGTGCATTTTTGATTATTCATGCAAGTCCTCAGGGAATCAACAACATTAAAATTATTAGGGGTTTTTTGTTTTGTTTTTTAAACTATAAAAAGCTATTTAATAAGGCATACTTAATTATTATATTCTCTACATACATTTTTATACTTAAGTAACTGTAAAAATAATTTTAATGTGTAAAGATGTAAATGCCCCAATGATCTGAAATGTTCGAGTAAAAACAGCATGAGAAATATTCTTATAATATTTAAATATATTGTTCCCCTTCTCATTTTCCTATGCAGATTGCACTAAAAATACTCATCTGCTCAATTTTTTGAGTATGAACACATGACTTTAGAACAACATATGCTTCTCCTAATTATATTCAGAAAAACATCTTTCAGTACAAGAACTTGCTCTTGAAAAAAGAATAATTACAGTAGTAATTATTTAAGTATTTTAAATTATTTAATTATTTAAATTATTATTTAGTAGTACAAACCTACTAAAATAGGGGGAAAGTTAAAGTTTATTCTGGCAACCATTTATGGAAAAAAATTTCTGAATTCATCTAAGGCACACCCCATTCAATATTATACCTGTAAGTTAGTTCCCTTAGTAATTTTTATAATGTAAATTATTGCAGTGAAGGTAACATTACAAGGCCAATTTGTTCACTTTTAAATTTGTTGGGAAATTACTTATGCCAGTAAGTTTGGCTTTGAAGTAGAAATCAAATATGCTCCTGAAGAAGACATGCTCCTTTACTTCATAGAAATCCAACTGATTTCAGTTTTCATTCTTTTTATCACACTGAAAATACATAGACCCATGCTTTTTCCTTAAACAGCAGTTAGACCAGCATTAAGTGGGTGTAGTCTGAGCTAAGCCTGGCACAGATCCAGTTATTGAACTGAAAGCCTTTTCATTGAAATAACTGAATGCCAGCCATTCTAAAGGCTAGTCTAACTTAAATATTCTAACTTTAGAGATACACTTCTGATTAATTTTTAATTATATACTTTGATTTTCATTTTCTCACTGTATTTCTCTTTTTTTTCCCCAATGCAGATGGACCTTATGGACTTAGAGTCAAATCAGACAAAGGTCTGAATATAGGGGCAGTGTTTACAGTGGACGTGGGGCAAGTTGTACTGTTTGACTGCTCAGCAGATTCAAACCCACCAAATACCTATTCATGGATTCAAAGGGATGACAATACCACTCAAGTAATCAAATATGGACCCCATCTGGAAGTTGTATCTGATAAAGTGGCCCAGAAGACAATGGATTACATGTGCTGCGCTTTCAACAATGTGACTGGGAAACGAGATGAAACTCACTTCACAGTTGTTGTTACGTCTGTAGGTAAGAATGTAACCTTACTGCTGTAAAGTGTAACATCTGAGTGGATGCCCCAGAAAAAGGAAGCCATTCTTAGAATATGTGTTGAAATTTACATCTCGCTAAGAATATGGTAAAGGGGCTTTTGGACATTCTGTGGGATAAGGTTTTTGCTGTGTGACACAGCTTGGAACACAACCCACTAAGACACTGAAATTTTGTGGGGTTTTATTACAATGTTCATGTAAATAATTTCCTTGTCATATTTATGAACCTCGGGATTGATTGCTGGATTCTGAAGAACACATACCTTCATTGCTCCTACAGTATAACCTCAGCTCCTGTATGATTGTGTTCAATAGCAACAAAGCAGTTTTTCAGAAAATCTCCAGAAGCATAGAGCAAAGAACAAGATATCAAAGAAGTCTGATGTCTCTTCTCAATACAGATGGATGCAAGTGTTTTCAGATAAGGCACATATGCTATTAATGTTCAACAAGAATTACTAGATTGCCTGTTAGAAAATTTAACAAAGCAATTTCATGTGGGCTGAGCAAAGAGCTAACAGATTTGTTAGTTTGGTAAACAAGAAGATATGTCCATGATTCAGGCTATTTACTGATTCATCATGAATCCAGGACCTTCAGTATGCTGGGAGGAATACAGGGTGCAATTTCATAGTAAGAATACCACACTCAAAAACTAAATATTGTGGTTACTAGTGAAAGAAAATGCAATTCAGAGCTATGTGTTTATAGAAATAAACATGACATTTCTCCAGGAAGTTCATGTAATATTTAGCTGAGATTTCCTTTCAAAGGCCAAAAAGGAGGGAAGACTCCACAGCTTCATGGTTGATTGCACTTAAAATAGTAGATTTCCTAATTACAAATATTTTACTTCCATCTTATCAAAACATTTTTTCTAGTGTATTTAAAAATAGAAAAAGATATTTTTCCCCCTCTGGAGCAATTTTCTTTTAGATGAGTGTTTATTCAAAAAGCACTAAATGGAGATGTCAAGGCTACACTTTGCAGAGCAGGACTGGCTGATTCTAAGAGGTATGAATTCACAGACAGTTCATTCTCGGTGATGCTGCTCCGGCTAAATTCACATTGCAAGTGAATAAACATACTAAGCAAAGACTATGAAAATTGTCCATATTCCTTTTCCTTACCCCCATAATCCTAGATACAGAGGCTGGACTATGGCATTCAGAATACTGGAAACCCCATTTTCAGAAGCAACAGGAACTTTGATGTTTCAGAAGACCTTACATACCTTGCCCATGGGACAGAAATTCACCTCTATGGTGCTATGGACAGCTGCCTAATTAATCCTAAAAATTATCTAGGAAACAATTATTTTAATAAGTTACATTTATATCAGTAGTTGCACTAAGTTGTTACCCATTTTCAGCCAAGATTCTAAAATAAAATTAAGTATCTCACGCACACCTGTCATTGCTCACTTTTCAAGCTTAGTCAGCTTGAGTGTGTTAAATGCATGCAAAGAGCATTTCTTTGTTTTCTGCGCTGATATATCTATAGAGATGTGAATTATTGAGTCTACATTTGAAATTACTCACTTTAAGGAACATTTTTAAGGACTCATCTGATTCTCCAGCATTTGGGCTTTTTCTTCCTAAGGAAAGCAGTACACCGAGGGACTATTTAAAAAACTGGTGAAATTGCAGTGATTTATTTTCCCGTATCTTTAGGACACATCTGTCTAGAAATCTTCATATCTAATCTTCATGAAAACCACTGCACATGTAGCCAGCACATTGCCAGTGAATTACACAGAGGTCTAAGTAGATGTAAGCAGCCCTCTGCAGAGGAGTTCATCGACTATTGGGAACACATCTAGCTGAATAATACACATTTTAATTGTACTAATAAATCTGGCACTAGCAAATATGCAACATTAATTTACCTGTATGGATTGTGCCTTGTCCTTTAATTACATGAATTCTGCACAATTCAAAGCAAAAGGAGGTAATCAAGAGTGCACAAGCAGATACGTCTGGCATTTCCTAACTTTCACATTCTTGTCTTTGCAAATTCATGACAAATGTTTTCCGTGTGCTTCTAGGTATGTAATTATATGCAATTTGTGTATGTGTTGTATCAGAATATCCTGATGGAAAAGTCCTGTTAATGCATATCCCAGAAAAAGACTTGAGCAAAGGAAAGAAATATTTTTAATATATTTAGAAATAAATACAAACAGTATGGTGGAGTCCCCATCCTTGGAGGTGTTTGAGGAACGACTGGACATAGAACTTAGTGCCATGTTGATCTTTGGTGATAGATTAGACTTAATGGTCTTTTCCAGCCTGACTCTGTGATTCTGTGATAATTAATTGCTTTCAGATGCAGTTTGGTAAATAACCAGACTGTCAGTGATCTAAAAATCTTCACAACAAATCAAATGGATCTTTTTTCTCCTCCTACTTTATAGCTCCCAACTGTTAGGAGGATTTCTCTCCAATCTAGCACAAGTTGCTCTCTCACTTCCTTTTTGGTAGTTCAGTTCCTCTATACCTCAAGTTATAATATGCATTTTCTTTTTTTGATGCTGTAATTTGTGGTTTACATTAATGACTTCCATTTAGCTCCAGGTTCTAATCTGCTTTGAAGTCTTTTCTGATATGCATATCATTGCTTTTTCAGTTCAGATCTGTGGGGAAAAATAAATATTACCCATTATCAAGACCCAAATTATGCATCTGTTTTCTATCTCTATGCAAGTTTACTAGTTTCAGAATAATTTTAAAAGATGCATTTTTCAGTGTCATTGTAGCACATTATAAAGAACAAGGAACTAAATACAGTACTCGTCTTCTTTGTCACAGGGTTGGAAAAGCTGGCCCAGAAAGGAAAATCTTTGTCTTCTCTTGCAGTAATAACAGGAATTTCATTATTTTTGATCCTAGCTATGGCCTTTTTATTCCTATGGAAAAGGTATCAGCCACATAAAGGTATGTAAAAGTTAAGCACAGTCCAGCTCTTCTTTTGGACCCTTGAAGCAAAAAGAATAATTTTTTTTTTTCTTCTTTTCAGTGATACAACAGAAGCTACAGAGCAGGTAGAAAAACAATTCATCTTACATCTTAAAGTACTTTCCATCCAGAGAATTGCATTTTATCATATTAATTTTCTTTCCTTGGCTTATGACGTCAAACTGAGAAATGTGTTTATGTTTTCTAGGGCAGAGGCTGATTACAGAAAGGCACAGGCATTTTCAGGTAATGCTAATGAAATAAGTGTGAGCATAAGGTCAAAGTCCATTCCTGAAAAAGAAAAATAGCATCACAAAATACAGAAAAAAAAATAAAACGCAAGGAAGAAAAGTGTGTTTTTATGTTGCATTGCACACCTCTATGATAGCTTAATTAAGATCAGACCTAAACAAGAAATCAGCATGGGTTTAGCTCATGCCTGGAGCTCAAAGCAGTATGTACTGCTGTCTTGAATTCTTTTCTCTCCACTATGCTTCCCACCTGATCCTAGGCAGAAGATGCCGGACACCAGCCATCCTCTGGAAGGATATCACTTTTATTCCCATTCCTTTCTGCCAAAGCATCAGAGCAGACCATAAACTGCTACATGCTCAAGTAGAGGGAAGTATATGAAGCTTAGGAAGGTAGGACATTCACCTGAGCACAGAGGGTCCATCAAAGTCATAGCAAAGGATAGAAATTCATCATTGGTTTTAGTCTGTAACCTTTGATGTGGAATGATGACCAAGAGACAACCAAGAGCCTCACATCTCCTGGACAGTGGGAGGGTAGACTAACTACACCTAAATACACCTAAATACAAGGTGTATGTGAAGTCCCAAATAATAATGTGACATCTATAGGTACCATGTTCCCTTTTATTATTCTCAGAATTGTAAAACATTCAGGTGGTACTGCTTCACTACACTGCAGATATGCTGAGTTTATTTATTCAGCCTCTTTTCTATAGGAAATGAAAGTAAATTGGTCATTTTAGCCTTCCAGAATAAAGAGTATGAATGTCTCTACCAAAATTTTTGCTGAGGCTCCTCACTTGGTCCAAGGTATGGGAAATCACCAAGTACCAAGCACCAGCTCTGCTGCTGTCCTGCCTCACTCCACACCAGTTTAGGAGCTCAGCAGGGAAGTGGTCTAAAGCAGATCACATAAGCAGTATTTGGGTGTTTTAAAAATAGGGCAAAATACCTTGCCAGTCATTAATTTCCAGGTTCATATTATATGTCTTTTTTTAAATCCTTGTTCTAACTTCAGGACATGAAAGTGCTTTGGATGATTTTGGGATATATGAATTCATCACTTTTCCAGATCTTACCAGTGGCTCTAGGGTATGTGATTTTACATCATAAACAGACAGTTTCTCTTCTATTTCTCTAATTATAATAAATATCTGTACCAGAATCCTTCTGTAGGTTTGCTTCTGTTGCTTTTTACAGATGTGTGCATGACACCATATTCATGGCTGGTGTTCACCCAGTACTTGCTCTTTCTTTCCTGTGTTACTAGTTCAGTACTTCATAATCAACATAATGAAGTAAGGAATAACCAAGCTCTAAGTACAGCAATCTCCATTCAACTACCCTATATTAGAAGAATATTAGTAATGTTGGGTAGTTAAGTAGCCACTTGTGTCACACAGGCAAGCCTGCTATTGTGATGCCATTTTCTCCCTTGACCCTAATATTTCTGCTCATGCAACATTCAGCCCTGGCAGTGCAGAAAAGTCTCAGGGAGTTATTTAAAGTGTAAATGTAAGCTAAGTCCTGGCTGTGTTTCACAAAATTATTTGGTTGGTTTTGTGTATTGTAGGGTAGGAGTTAAGCATAGGAATTTCACTAGCAGAAAAGAAATCCTGCAATATTTGCTGCTTCCTTGCATTGTCTTTGCTGACATTACTGCATAGCAGTTGGAGACCATTCTGATATAGTGTAAAAGGACCAAAAAGAAATCAGAAACAGGGCCATAAAATTTAGGGACAATGGTAAAACTGGGAGGAAAGAGAAGAAAGGCATTCTCTTTGCTAGGGAAAATTGTCAGCAATCTAATCTTGTAACTTTGGAGGGCATCGATCTGGTCAGGTAAGGGAGAGCTCTTAAAGCATGGTCACAGGGTCACATTGTCACACCTAATTTATTTTTATGATTAGTACTCATAATACATCATGTCAAAAAACAGCCATAGATTAATTTATCTTCTCTGATGGAGTTAGATGTTTGAAATATATATTTATAGGGCTAAAGTGCTACTGCAAATGTTAGTGGAGAGGGCAAACTTTTACAGCAGCAGAGATAAATGACTTTTAGAAAACAGAGCAGCTGAACTGCTTCTTTTACAGTTTCTGCCAGTAAGAGGCTTATTAAGTTTAGAGATCAGGCCCTAGATCATCACAGCCTTAAGCATACTGCAATATTATTTTATTACTAAAGAGGGTATATTTAGATTAAATAAATTCTTTACTTGTGAGGATGGCGAGGCAACTGAAAGTTGTCTCAATTGCAGATGCCCCATCCCTGGAAGTGTTCAGAGTCAGATTAGACTGTGATCAACCTGATCTAGTGAAAGATGTCCCTGCCTATGGCAGAGGGGTTGGAACTGGATGATCTTTAGGGACTTCCAACCCAAACCTTCTATGATTCTATATCCCTTAAGCTGATCATATCACAATGTCACATTCGGGCAGGATCAGGGCCTTAGTAGGTCAGGAGGGAGAGAGCAGTACCAGGAACAACAGAATGGATGTACAAGCAATGAAATCTACTATAATTTCCAGTAAAATTTTAAGAAACAGGAGAAACTCTACTAATTTATGTTCAGCTACTCAAATGTATAACATTGCAGGTAAAGCCAGTATTTGATCCACTGATTCATTTTAGTCACCAGAGAAAGGAGAAAATAAGAAAGTGTAGATAATTAAGAACTGGAGGTTGGGTATAGGCAGAAAGACTGATAATTCCTTATGGATGTAGAGTCTAGGTAAATCTGTTGTCATGAATAAGAGGAAATTAATATACTTAACGTGCTGAACAGCCAATATTACTTGATTTATGGAAATTCCATGTTGTCTCTCTTTGACAGGTCAGTGGGAATTTTATGCTGAACCCAAGCCCTGTTTGTTCTCCTGCTTTTCTCTTTATTAAATGTTCCTTTCTTGACTTGTGGTACATTAATATGAAGCATTTGCTGTATTAAATGCAAAAGCTGCATCCTAAATCTTTAAAGGGGTTAAATGAATTTAAAACTAATACTTGCCTTACTATTAATGTGACAAGAACTTACTGAGAATTAAATGTAAACTAGGAGAGATTTCCTATTCAATCCACAAGCAAAACTTTGATGAAAAGTTTAAAAAATTACAAGTTACATTAACAGTTTCATTTCTGTTGAATCTTTTCATATTTGTACTTACAGTAGGAATACACTTTGTTGGTTTTAGGTTTCAAGTCAATCTGTTCCTGGCCCTGGCTTTGTTGCAGGCCAGGATATGCTAAGTACGGTTTATGAAGTTATTCAGCACATTCCTGAGCAGCCAGAACAAGACCACCAACAGTAAGTTACAGACTGTGTTCACTCACGTGGTAGCTCAAAGACAAATACTTTTGCATCCAGAACAATTTACATTTTGGTAGCCCTTTTTTGATTCCACTGAGAGGTTATGGAAGGAAAGGTAGAAGTTACCTTAATTCCTCCACCATTTCCTATCCAATCCCCTACTCTTCCTGAAGACTCGTCTGTTGTTTCATTACACCAGGTTTGTTAGTGAGATCTTCAAACTCAGCTCCAAATTAAAATTCCCACTGAATTTAATAGGGCACTGGAACATCAGCACTTCCTACTGAATAGGTTAAATATTCAATCAAAGCAGTTTAATTGGTAGCATGGCCTCCAGACCTCTCAGCCATGTGCCAAGTAGAGTTAGAGCAGGGGTTTTTGCAATGTTGAAACTGGCCAGTTGAATAATCATCAGCGGTTGTTAAAATAGTCACTGAAATACTAACAGACATACTTAAGTAAGCAATGTCTCTATAGCAAAAGCATTCTTGTGTGGAGCATTCTGTGAAGTTCCCAGACCCTGGCTGGGAACTCCACAGAAACTTTTGCTGAGTTCAATACCAGGAAGGCCACAGCACATTGTGCTTATGTCTCATAGACCTGGTTTTGTTCAAGTCACCTCCTGTGTATCACTTCCTGGCATAAGAAGGGTGAATACACTACAGTCTTTGTAACTGTGGTATAGCTGCCATAAATCTATTGTGAATATAGTCTTTCTTACAAATTAAGAACAGCACACAAGACTTGATTTGGTAACAAGCCTATTGTATCTCATTTTTCATGTTTTTTTAATGTGTTCTGTTTCTTTTATAGTTGAAAAGGAAAATACACACTCTTAACAATATGCTAATCAGTTGGCTGAGTAATCACTATGTTTATGTGACTGCATTCCCATGCAGTACTTACACTACAAAAAATGTCCTTATATCTTAGTTTATGTCTTCGACTGCGTGTCCAAATTATGTATGTAAACATACAGCCATGCCTGTCAAGACAAGCTGGTCTTGACAGTAAGAAAGCAACACTGAATTACTAAGGATGTTTTTGTTCTGCTCAGAATTTTTCACTTTGAACCCTAAGATTTTTAAAGCCAGATGTAAAAAATACCATTGATAAAGTACATATTTTCTTACTCTTACATGTCTTCTTTCTCAACTTTCTCACTGATACATGACCCCTCTGAAAAAAGGAATAAATACAACAAAAAGGTACATTGAACTTTGTGACAGTTCAGATTTCAACTTAAATTTTGCAAAACATATTCTGTAGTTGTAAAGGACTCATTTGCATAAACCAATTTTTCTGCTCCTTTCATATTTCATGTTTTGAAAAGGAAACAGGAAAAAGTTTTCACTAATAGCACAAAATCTGCTAATCATGATACTGGGGAAACTACTCAGATTAGAAGGGCCTGGTTCATGAATTTTCCAATTCCTGACCTGCTGAGAAGGAGCACTCTGAGTGATAAATAAATAAGGATGACTAAGTCGATACTGGTGCTTACAGCAGGATGCTTCCATTTCAGTATAAAGGAGAAACAAAACACCACAGAAGAGAGAATGAAGCTGGGAAAGTAATTGCAAACTCCTGTAGTGCAAAGTAATGATTACTTATGGATGAATCCGACAGACTTAGTATGCAATCATCTGTACAATAATCAGCAATATTCACAGTACAAAACTTGCCTGCACTCTGTTTATGGCAGGAATCTCTCTTTGTACAAAGCAAAAGAACAGATATTACAGGAGCCAAACAGATTTGTTAGTTAAGTGATCACTTTACTCTTATTCCTAGTGCTTCTAAAGGGAACTGCTGTGATTTCATAAATTTATTAAAATAAATATGTAAAGCAAAATCAGTCAAAAGCAATGTTAATTCTCAGATTTATAGTTTGAGAATCTTTCAAATCCTGTCTTTCGATGTAACTTCACTAGAATTAGCTGTTGTTCTCTCTCTTGCTCTTAGAAGTCCCAGTGACAATACCCGCAGATTTGCAGACTAGCCAATGCCTAACACCTGGGAATAGCTTTTTCCACTTTTTGTCATGCTTTTATCAGCCTTTTTATCCTTTCATCCACACATACATGTATGCCTTTGACAGTCTAAATAATTACAAAATTTTTTATGTGCCCCATCAAAAATGGGGCTACTGGAAATAATTAAATTCTTTAAATCTCTTGGGTTTGGACTGGCAGGCTTATAACTTAATTGCAATCAAAACATAAGATGAGATGATAGCTGGCTTTCACTTTTACATTTTACATTTACATATGCTTCCCTTAGTTGTTTTTCACAAGTGTTTTGCAGACTCACCTCTTCTGCACTTCTAAAGAACCAAAGGGAAAACACAAAATCAGATTTTGAGGCAACTGTTGTTCTCCATCCCTGGGATCCACAGTCACAGGGAGTTACAGGATTGTCACACACACCAGTATTTATTAAACAGATTCTTTTAAGCCATTCTTAATGGTTTGATTCTTTTCCCACCCTTGGATATTTTTTTAAACTAAATATAAATCCTTTGACAAGTTGAACAGGTTCTTCCACGTATGGAAGAAATCCAAAGATGTCTGCCAAAGTTAATGAGTGAGAGGTTTAGCCAGCTTTTACAGATAAGCACTGATAGTTCATCACTGTTCCTCTAAAAACCGTTTGTAACTTAGGTTTCATTTGCACTCCAAATAAAGATAATTTTGCATCATCTTCCTCTCCTCTGATCCATACTGTTTCTCTCATATCAATCATTAACCATTTCACAGATTTCTCCTCAGTCAGCTGTTAAAGAGCAATAAGGATACAAAGCCTTGCCAGGCATTTCAGCACAGGGTTGTACTGTGGACTGCACTGGCTCAGTCCAGGGTTACCACCACCCTTTAGCAGGTACATTATTGTTATACAGTATGAACAGCTATATACATCATCATACTGTGTGATACTGTGTCATACAATATGATACAGAAATGTCTGTACAGAAAGAGCAGCAATGCAGGAAGCAATATAAACCATTATGTCATTATGGCTAAAACCTGTGCTGTCTTTTAAGAACTAGACATACTATGCATACTAAAAATTCATTCAAAAATTAGTGTCTTGCAAATCTCTCCCCCCAGATCTTATTCAGGCTGAAGAATTGTGTTTAGAACTTCTGGTTTGCTTACATGTTTGCTACAGTTCTTTTAAAGAAAAGAAAGCATTCTGGACACAGCATCGTGAACAAGTGTTATATATATCTATGTGTATGTTCTTTCCTAGATGTATATGAAGAGACAGGAAGAGGAAATCAAAGCATCTGAAAATACAAAATTTACTACTTCTTCTTCGTAATATATTGAAGAAAATGCCAAAAACTTCAAGAGTAGCAAAGGCTTTTGCCACCTTGTCTTGAAATAGCAATTTTTCTTCAGACTGAAAATCCCTTTTCTTGGGGTGTTCCAAATTGCTTTTTATTGTTGTTTTTTTTTTTAAGTAATAATTCCTTTGGGAAAGTAGGGATATTTTAATTCTTTTTTTTTTCCTTATCAATGAATACAAAAGACAAAGGGATATCTTAAAAAATTCAGTATAAAACCTACTCCTTTTCTAAAAAACAATCAGCAGAAGCACAAGAAGGAACCAGGCCCAAGATGCCATCCATGCTTGTTTTATTTAAAAGATAGCAAAAAATAGCAAACAGAAGGGGTTTTTTTGTTTGGGTTGACTTTCACAAGAGAAGACCTCCATACTGGCATGAAAAGTAATAAATGCAGTGTGTCAGATTGCAAATTACATTTGGGGTTTAAAATAAAGTCATTCTTTTAATTCATTTAATGTGACATAATTTTCAAGCATAGAAACAGATCAGTCAGACAGTTACAAAAATGTACATATGTATATTATTCAGAATAATGTGTTCTCATTAAATTCTGTTTCCTTTGCATTTGAATTGGTTTTCTATTTGCTGCTGAAGAGCCTGCTTCTCATTGACTAGGAGAGTAAGTGATATTTAAGCTATTTCGAAAAGCCACAGGAAGTTCAGGCTATTTGTACATTAAAATAATTCTCCAGTGCAAATGAAACCAATCTTACTCTCTTTAAACAGTGTGTTACAAGTCCCTTTGCAAATAGAAGAATACTCTTCCAGAAGCTTCTGTTAGCTGGCTTCTGAATCCTGCAGGAAAATTCACTATTATTTCCACAGGGTCAGTTATTAGTTGGTGTCAGTTAGCTGCAGCCAGGGAAAAGAGGAAATATGAACTGAATTAATCTACAGGGGGAAAAAAAGTTACTTCAGGAGCAATTAAGTGTGCAGAAAATCATAACTGTGAGTAATGAGAAAGCAGACAGTGTGTCCACCCTTTAAGACAGGCTGTATGATAATATTTAAAGCACTCTGTATTATGAAAAATAATTTGCACTTATTTAAAATACCTCCTTAATCCATATTTACTAAACATTCTTCCTGTCTCCATCTTTCAAAGACAAGGAAAAAACAGCATGGTATTCAGCCAGCATTCTGATCTTGTGAGGCTAAAAAAAAAGGGAATAAAACAACAGCACCATTGCATGTGAGGAAAATAGGATTAGGCATTACACAGAGGCAGCACATGAAGCCCAAACATGCAAGTAGTAGTGACATCATCTCAAAAATAACATATTCACCAGATTTGCTCCCTAAGAAATAGCCATCTGACATGAAGGCATCAGGCAGAGGCTCTAAGTAGAAACATTTGGGCAGATCTCTAAAAGACTGAGAAGCTTAGAGAGTTCCCCATAAATTCCTCCATTGTTCAGTCAAAACCGACTTCATGTGTGTTTCAAATCAGGACAGATCTTTGGGATTTGCAAAGTCTGATTTTCACCCTCTTTTCTCTTCCTTTTCTTGCTGGAGCAATAATTTTAATTGCTCTGAAGGGAGTATGCTGATTAGTGAAGTGCTTGAGATCATTCCATCTTACCCCATTGGATGTCACTGCAGGCCACAGGGCAGGAAATGCAGATAAATTAAGAGAAAGTTGTTTCTCC